CTTTTAACTATGCTCTAGAGACAAGTATCATTTGTCCTTTTCTGTGTCCTCAGTTTGTGGTAGTGTTCTGTTTGTTTGCTTAAAGCTTGGGGTGGAGTTTTTTCAGGTGTTTGGTTTTTTTTTTTTTTGTTTTGTTTTAATTTTCCTGCAAGCTGTGTCCCCTGCCCCAGCCTGGCCATCTTTTTAATTTTCACTGGATTAATTCAAATGATCAAAATACTCTTATTTTTACATGCCATCTGAAAATCAGATGAGCAAAGGCTCTTCTGCCAAAAAACTTTTCATCCATTGGGAATGCTAACAGTAATTTTGAGTATACAGATGGCATAAAAAAAAAAAAATCAGTTAGTGACAGTTGTTATGATCATGACATTGCATTAAAAAATTTAAAAATCCATTTCCTTTTATCTTGGTAAAACTTAAGAGCAAAGAGCAGAGTGCTGGTTGACATTTAAAAAAAAAAAAGTTAATAATATGTAGTGCAGCAGTTGCCAAATGGGGCTATAAGTTCTACAGCGAGCTGGTACACACAAGTTTCCCAGGCAAGCTGCCTTGCTTGTGCTCACAGCTGGCAGCTGGCTCTGGATAATGTCAATACACGAGGAGAGTTTCTGTCATTCCAAGTTGGAATCTGTGTCATAAGTTTAGGCCATAATTTTGAAACTCTTAAAATCTGTTAAAACTTTGAACGTCTCAAACTTAGCTTTAAAAATAATTATTTATTTGGACTTAGCAGTATGTTTACTATATGCATCCAGAAGGACATCACAGATTTTGTCTGTTTGTAAGTACATCATATGAGTAACATAATACATACCTTTAATTATCAGAGTAAGAAATGAAAAACTAATTTTTGAGACACCTTAATGTTTTTGTGGGATGTTATTTGTAAACAAACCTCCTTATATTGTAGAAAACAAGCATTGATCCTCTCTGTACCGGAGGATGTATACATGTTCTGTTAGGGCCCTGTGTGCAGGCATGTGGGGGGCTCACAGGGTAATAGCACTGTGGACTGAAAAAGCCAAAGTCTAAACTTGAGGTGTATTTCCTGAGAAGTAGGGACAAGTGGTTTTGTTGCCCTATAACACTTTATTTTTCCTATCTAGAAATATTACATTTAGTTTTTACTTTTCATGTGTTACAGAAAAAATCACTGGTGATGTCTGCTAATCCCACAAAATAATGTATTAAAAATAGAGCAGAACGGCAGTCACTGTTAGCTTCATCTTTGGCTTCACAGACAATATGAATTACTTGCTAGATGAAACAAGCAAATAAAAGAATTGCATAAATAGTTAAGACTTGTGGCAGTAATTCTACATGCAGAATTAATGTTTTCATTCCTATGGCATGGTTTCAGTTTGTAGCCTTTCTTGTTGCTTATTTTATTTTTACTTCTTGTTGTTTCATTCCTTTGTTTTAAGGAAATGTGGTGGAGCCCTAAGGACTTTAATTTAAAATGACACCCATATATTTGTAGTTCAGCCAGTAATGTAAAAGCTGAACTAAATTTAAGTCTAAACTTTCATATGTATTCCTCAAATATTAACGGTTAGCCATGTATGTTGTGTTTAGTGGCATTTCATATGTGGGTATGAATACTACTTTAGTTGCCAAGATAAGTGAATGTTATTATGATGGCAAAATGAAACTCGTGGTGGTGTTTTCCCAGCAGACTTTATGAAGTACTTGCCTTATTAAAGAAACAAACCAAAAAAATCCCGAAAACCAAACCCACAAAACACCCCCCCAAAACCAGAATTGTTTTTTTTAAATAACAGATGAGAATGAAATACATAATACAGAATGAAACTCCGTGTTCTACCCTCATTTAAGATGCTTGGGCTCAAGATGTTGCTTAGGACATAGCATGGGTTTTTTTCAGCCTCTTGTAAAATTGTAGTATGATATGTGGTGTCACAATAAGGTGTATTTTTAGTTTTCTGTCAAGTTTTGTAGACCATTATTGTAGCTTAGGGGATCTTTGTGGTAACAAGCTGGGGGTAGATTGAAAAAGGTGCAACCAGAATATTTATAATAAAGCACAAGCTAGTTGTGGGGTTTGTTTGTTTGTTTGTTTTAAATTACTGTGGTACTTTTGATAGGAATTGTGAAGCATGTAGGTTGTGAAATTGGGAGGGGGAGGCACATGTTCAAAAGGGTCAGGTTAATGTGGATAAAAGTAGGTATAGTTGAGTGGATCAGCTCCTGTTTTCTGAGGTCTTTGGTCATGGCAAAAAAACCCCACAGCAAACCCCACAGTATTCCTTAGCATTTGTAAATAACTCTAGAAATAATTCTGAAGGTTATATTTCTTGAGTTTTCATAGGTCTCTGCATTGAAGTGGTGTACATCCCGAGTCGAGGGAGGGGAAGTGGGAAAGCTGTTGATCAGTATGAAAATGGAGATAGAATATTTAATTATTAACAGTTTCTGAGCCTATCCTTCAGTTTTACAATGTTGGAAATAACAGGAAGAAAAACTCGCTCAAAGCCAGATAACTTTTTTTGAAGTTTCTAGCTTTTTCTAGACTTGGTAAATATTAGATGCATTGTGTCACGGACTGTGAAGATTACACCAAAGCCTGTACTAAAAGGCAAAAGACTTAAATGCTTGGAAAAGAAATTGGTGCGCATAATGAGATATTGAAGCGCGTGTATAAGGATGTGTGCATCTGAGAGGGTGAAAATTAGGCTTTCACTAATTCTTCTAGGTGATGATAAGCCATATAAAACTTTGTTTAAAGTATAAGCTTGGGTTGTAAATCCGGTTTTGCTCTAACAATGAGACAACCAGGCTGTTTCAACTTCATTGTTACATTGCCAAGCTAGTTAAAATAGAAGTCTTTTTTTTTCTTTCTTTCTTTTTTTCATGTCTCCTGAATGAAATTAATATTCAGGTAGCCTATTTGTCTGCAGCACCTGGTAGAAATGGCTATGCTTTTTATGTCAGCTAACTAAGCACAAAGTTATCTTTGCTAAGAAAGCTGGACCTCAAGGTTGTTCATTTGGTGCTGAATTATAAAGAAGTGGTTGTATCTAATTTGCTCTTTTTATTAGGTGACGTTTGTTTTGAAGGTTGGTTTGTTTGTTTTAGTAGCAAAGCAGCCTGAAGTGTTGTGGCAGATCCGTCAAGAGATTTTTTTTTTTTTCCCCTCCCAGCTGCCATTAAGCCCACAGTTGGCTAACATGAGTCTTTCTGTTCATTGTAGATAGGTTGACTTTTCTAGAACTTGAGAAAATAGACTGTGTGCATCTTCGTATTTTAAAAATTGCATGATCTATTGGGATTGATTGAAATCTACTTGCATACAAAGATTATGTTGACTGTCACTGAATATACTGAAATAGTAAGAAAAATGGCTGGGCAGTGTCTTCATAAATTATAGGAGAGTCATGAATTGCAACTGCTTCACTGTTGAAATCTGGCAGCATCTTTTAGTAACCAAGAATATGCAATGACAGCTTTGAACATAATTGATTAAAAAAAAAAAAAGTAAAGCAGTAAAGCCTGTTGACTGGAATATAACCCTTCATTTTCTGTTGTCAGCTCACCTGGAGCCCTGATCTCAGACCAGGGTCCACTTGTGCGAGACACATAACAGATTTACAACCTGTGTGTAATACAAGACAATAGATAGACATGACAAAGAACAGGGAAGAGTATTGGTCAGTATTGCTTACATCAATAGTCAAAGATTTAAACACTTGTAAGCCTGAAATATTTTTTTCCTTGCCTCAATGCAAGAAACCTTTGAGGAGGATGAAGCGGTCTTATGTAGGGCTTATGGCCAACTCCCTTAACCCATGGGTACCGTTTGGGGAGGATTTGGAGCAGGAAAATTTATTTATTCAAACTATTGGAAGGACTGTGGGTTCCTGGTGTTATAGGCTAATGAATGGACTGTCATTTTAGTACTGAAATGAGAGCAGTACATTGTCAGGACTTTGAAAGTGAAGATGAAGCTTACTTGTTCTGATTTGGAACAGAAGCAGGAGCCAATGTGGGGAACAAAGAGAGAGAAGGTACTTTTCTCAAGTCTGTCAGCTGAATTCTCGTATTGATCTCAAATTATGAAATGGAAGGTTTCAGTATGTGTACTTTAAAGCAAAGGAGAGCCTTTTTACTGTCTAGTTTTGCTGATGTGTGTTGTGTTTGTGTCACGAGCTAGTTTTGCCCAGCTACAGTTGCTTGAGTTTAATTAGAACAGGTAACGGGTGAGATCAAGGGACTGAGATGACCCTTTGACTGTATATGGATATTAAATCAGCTCCACTGTGTCATGATGCTGCAATTTAAATTTTTAGTACCACAGAGAACCAAAAAGGCTATTGCTGTGGGTCATAGCTATTTTGAGAGCTGAGAACATGAAAAATGTCCAGATAATTGAGATTCTAAAAGGTGGCAAAAATGTGGGTGGTTCTAAGGAATCTGATTTGAGGCAAGTTGTTTCCCATATCCAGATCTGATAATCACTTGGACTTTGAACTGGCAGTGAGGATATATAATCAACTTTCTAGAAAAGATGATCTGTAGCACTGAAAACGGGTTAACTTTCTGTGTTCCTTGGTTAGGATTTTGTTTTTCGTCGTGCCATTTAAAGATGGTGTGTTAAACCAGTGCCTGAGATCCTTCTAAAAATTTTATAGCCATTAAATATTTTAGTATGGTAGGCACTATAAAACAGTTCTGTCTAACCTACTTAGCCCTTCGTGATTCTTTGGAAGAAGAATGAATGAGTCTGAAAATCATTTCATAATTGTTAAGGCTTAGATGTCCTATGCTGACTTAGGCTTTAAGTTTGGTTAACACCTAAGTGAAAAAGGGTATTTGCGTTTTTGTGTCCTCTCTCGTGAGCCATGCTAATGTGGTCTTGTTCAGAACAAGAAACTGATGATTTGACAAGGAGAATTCTTCAAATGTGATGTTTAGACTTGTGACTGAGTTTAAAACTGTTGAAAACTTTATGGTCTAATAATATTTTACTTTTTTTTCAGATTAACTGCTGAAGTACTGATCGAGTTCTGCTATTCTTCAATGAGGAACTACAGGCTGATCTTTTGCCATAATCTTAAACAACCATAAATGACAAAAGAATGCTTGGTCAGTGAGGGCAGCTGGCGCAGAAAACGTTTTTCAAACTCGGCTGTTTAAGTACTCTGAGGTAGGTTTCATAAACTACTTCACTTGGGCTATCAAAAAAAAAAGGAAGTATGGATTTCAGTATGCCTAATCTGTTAGAATTTATCAATCCATTAGTAAACAGAGAATTAAGTTTGGTTGCAGTGCTTTGACTAACAGTATGTACTTCATGTTCTATGTGCCATCCTCTATGAAAATGATTGCTTGCATTTAAGCAAGTATCTTTTCTTTTTTTTATTATCTATTTTGAAGAGACAGCTTTTTCTTTGCTAGGAGAAATATTTTGGTTTTGACAGGATAACAGTTTAACTGGGTGACTTACACTGCTTTTGGTAATACCTTTGTTATCTCTCTAAATCCTTTATATAGCAAAGACTTGCAAGTAAAGCTTGCATTTCTGCATGATAGGAAGAATGGTACCACTGAGCATCTAGAAACTAGTTTTGGGGGTTTTATGTTCACTAAAATTTTCAATTTGATGCAGGTGTTGAAAGCCTTATTGTGTAGACCAGAAAATGCCAAATATATTAGAAGTTGATTTCAGTGCTGTTGTCTATCACAAAACACTTAATCATTCCATGTAACTGAAACTTGGGGTTTTGGTTAAGTATGATCCACTAGTTTCATTTCCTCTCGAGAGGCTTTTGTGTTGGATTTTCAAAGCCTGACTGATAAATACTGTCAGAAAATGTACTGAAGAATTTGGCTCTCCCAGAGTACCTTAGAAATTTTCTGAATTTCATTTGCTGCTATATATGTTATTCTTAGTCTTCTGTTGAGGATTGAACAGATACCTTGGTAATAAGTCATTTATCTAGTTAGCTGTATTTGGAGTTATTACAGAACTTTTCATTAAATCAGTGAACTGTTTGAGAGAGACTGCAGAGTATTTGCATTAGGTAATTAAAACATTGTGTTACAGATCAATATATTCAACAGCGTACACTGAAGTGCGATTTTTGGTTTTAATTCCTCTTGTTTGACAGAAAAGACAGCTTTGATTTTTGGCTGCAAAAAGATATGAGGAAGAGCTCCTCCCCTTCCTTGAGTAACTGCAACTCTGTTCTTGCTAACAAAATATTTGGAATTCCACTTGATGAGCTGCAGCAAGAAGGGCAACCAGACAATGAGGTTCCATTCATAGTCCGCCATGTTGTGGACTATATTGAGGAACATGGTACGTATTATTTTGCTGTACTTTAAGTAACATATGTAGCTGCTATTCTTATAGAATAGATTGTGTTTTTCGAAGAGTACTTGTTTTCTGAAGTTACTTTAGTTGGATGTGATTTTGTTGGTTTTGGGTTTTGTGTGGGTGTGGGTGTTTTGTTTTTTTTTTTTTTGGTGATACACACTTCCTTTCTTTACTCCTTGTGTTGTGTTTGGATTATCACTGTTTTCTAGCTAACACTAATGCAGTCGGCTCAGCAGGGTACTTCATAGGAGGTGGTGTGTTTCAGGTACTGCTAACATTTACCGTATTTTGTATTGTTAGCTGGGCATAAGGATGTGTTTGCTGGGAAAAGGACTGCTGGAAGTCTTGCAGAACTGTTGTCCAGAAAGTCTTTCATTCAGTATGTGAATTGTGCATATCTGATTATCAGTATTTTCTGATACATTTGTCCATACTAGATCTAAAAGTTTATTTCTGCAACTTCTTTCTAACTCAGGGGGTCTGGAACAAGAAGGACTTTTTCAAGTCAATGGGAATGCTGAGACAGTGGAGTGGCTTCGGCAACGATACGATAATGGAGAAGATGTGGACCTGGTTAAAGAAGCAGATGTACCCTCAGCTATTAGCCTTCTTAGATTTTTTCTTCAAGAACTTCCAGAGCCAGTTATCCCAGGCAGTTTGCACATACATTTGATGCAACTTTCTCAAGGTGATAATTATTTTTGATTCAGTGTGTTTATTTTTTAAGAGTAAAAACCAGTATTGAGATTTGTAGTTGTACTAGGGTGACTTTGGTATTCTGTGTAATAATGTGTGTATCAGGAGGCATTCAAATAGACCTCTTTTTAGCACAAAACCCAGATAAATAGGTGTTGTGGTTTTTTTTTTAGGAAACTCAGTCTGTGTTCAAAGGCAGAGTTTATCCTTTGTGCAGGAAAATAGTGAACCTGCCACATACCGTGCTGATTAGTTCTGAATATTCCATGTTCTTGTGCGTGAATACTGGGACACTGGTCAAAACCACTGGAATCCAAGTTGTTTGACAGTTTCCCACCACTGGTGCTTTAAAAGTGCTAGGGAATGGTTTGGTCTGTTTTTCTCATATTTCCTTTGAATTTCACTTACTCTGCCTGATTGTTCTGTGGCACTTGAAGCTTTTGTATACTACGGAGAGATTTTAAGCCCTGTACTCATGTCACATTTGTTCTCCCACTGTGGATTTTTTCAGTTTAAAATTCATTTGTAGGAGGAAAAAAGACGCTGTCATCAGCATATTGTTGTTGCTAAGTATGTTTTTTCATATACTGCAAAACCTTGCCCTTTCAGACTGACACCCGTATGCTGACGCAGTATTTTCTTTACCAATTCCTAAATTGTCTATCTGTATCCACTCTCCTGGGTCTTTTGGCTTCTGCAGTCTTGAGTGGTGTTGGAGTTGATTCACAACTTTACTAGTAAAAACGCTTGTCTTGCAGCCCTACATTAGTAATGTCCTTAAAGGGTACGTTGATGTCGGATGCCTGCACTCTGTGACATAACTGATGGTACTTCTGGTTGTTCTCTTCAGAAATGTTGCTCATTTTCCAGTGTTAGTTCATACGTCTCTCCAAGTGCTGGGCTTGTTTTGCTTTGTAAGATGCACATTTTTGTTTGATTTAATTTTCTGTTGTTGAGTTTATTCCTGGTAAGAACTTGATAACGCTTGTGATAGTGCTGTTTGTTCAGAGTGGGAATTGGTTTGCAGGATGAGTGAGTATACCATAGTTTTCATACGCTGTTATGCTGTATTTACCAAGTGCTGAACTGGAGGGTTGTCATCAACAGTGTGAAGTGGCTTCATTTTCCTCCTTTGGTAGCTCGTATATCGTGAAACTTTGCATGTGGGGTGGTTACCTGGATAGCTTTTATGCTGGAAACAATTTTTGGAAGCTACTGACCAGAGAAGCTTGTTAATGCTGAAGTGCTGTTTGTTTGTTTCTCCAGTGATGAGAAACTGGAGTGGATAGGGAATTTCATTAGTGATAGGTCTGCTGTTTGGCTTGCGTTGTTAAGGTTCATTGGACCTAAGTAGCTAGTAAACCATTGTTTGTTTGTTTTTCCTCCTGAAAAAGATGATAAATAACAAAAGGGTTCTTAAGACAGTAATGCAGAATGCTGCCAGTTGCTCAGCTAATACTGCTATGCACCTTGACTCACGATGTTACCTATCAGGACTGGAAATGGGATTGAGGTATACTCACTTGGTGTGATGGTGTAATTCCCTTCTATGATTTGTAAAATACAGTGTGAAAATTGGGTTTTTTCTATCTTTGAATGTAAAGGACTGTAGAAGGATTTACCTATGGGTTGTTTTCGGAAGAGAGCTGTTCTTCAGCATGTAAGTCCCCATTTAGTTCCCTTTTGTTAAAAATACAGAGAAGCTTCACTTAAACTTGCAGTTTATTGTCTTTACTGTCTTTTTTTGAAAGTGTAAAATAAAATTATTTCTGAAAGATTTAAAGATATCTGTACCCAGGAAATCAAAACACATAAACCTTTAAACATTGTTTCCTGATACTAAAATTAGAGTTTTGGTTTCCTTTATTCAGGTTTTAGCTTTTGATATTTTGACTGAGTGATAGAAATATCTTTGTTTCCAGAATTAAAATATCAGCTGCATTTTAGGCAAAGGAATTGCTTACAGAAATGCAGAAGGTGGTAGTAATTTTGGATCTGTATGTTACTTCTGGTATTTTCCCTCTCTAGCAGGCCTCCCGTGTTGTTAGGTTAAGCTTAGTTCTCAAAACAACTTAGTTGTACAACAAGGTGTGGCCTATATACATCTTTTGAGGCTTCTTCCATGCAGGCCTAATGGTGGCTCCTCAAAGGCAAGTGATTTTAGTAATTGAAGTGTGAATTTGACCCCAGTGTGCTAGGCTGTGTCCCAGAAGTGTGTATCCATGGTTTACTGTCAGAGGACTTAAGTTACAGGTGAGAATGTTCTCATTTTAGGTCTCTGGCTGTTGTTTAGAACCTAAATTTTAGGACAGATTGGTTAGACAAAATGTCTGTATGTGTATGTGCAAGGTGGTCTGACTATCACCCCTGTCTTGCGCTCTCACTTTTTGAAGGTCTGCTTTGTGAAAGTTCACTTTTGCTGTTCTGTTTCCTAAATACGTTTCTAGAGTAAAAACTAACCAATAATATATTTTATTGTGTTACTGTGGTGAGAGAACTATTTTTCTGTGCCTGGTTGCCTGTTTTCAAATATTGTAGACATTGACTCTGAGCAAATGAAGTCCTGCACAGTTACTGTTTGGTATTACTGTACATGCACAACGGAGAATTTACTCACTTTTTGATTTGATATTAAGGGCTAGGATGTCTCAGCTCTCTCATCTGGAGAGGCAGAGTGGCTGCTCATCATCTTCAAACATCCTTTTCCCTTTCTAACTGATCTGAGAGGAGTTTTCAAATGTCTGAGAAAGAAGGGGAGGCCTGTTAGTATGAATTCTTCTCCCCTTTTGCTTTCCTGACGTTTCTTTTCTTTTATATAGAAGAATGGTTTGGGTTGGAAGGGTCCTTAAAGATCATCTGGTTCCAACCCCTGAGCCATGGGCAGGGACACCTTCCACTAGACCAGGTTGCTCAAAGGCCCATCCAACCTTGAACACTCCCAGGGATGGGGCATCGACAGCTTCTCTGGGCAACCTGTTCCAGTGCCTCACCACCCTCATGGTGAAGAGTTTCTCTGTTAGGTACAAGCAATTGTAAGCTCTTTGAACCTCGTTGCCTGTAAGGCTGATGATGTAACAAATGAGATTTATGGGGAGATATTTTGATGTAGGATTTAGTTAAATGTGAGGTGAGAATGAGGAGGACTTATGGTGACCCTTTTGCAGGTCTGGAATTGAATCAGCAAGCTTCAAGCTATGTGTTAAGATGATTGCATTGAGATGGCTTGTATTCATCAGTCAAATATTATAAAAGGAAGTAGAGTGGTGAGAATGGGTGCTTGTAGAGGAAAAAGTGTCAAAGTAGCTTGTCTGAAACAGGGAGAATTTAACTAGCTTTTAAGTTGGCTCAAGATTTCTGGAGCTCTTGCTGTCTCTAGAACTCTTCTTCAGTTGTCAGGTAACAGTGGTAAAATGAAAGGGTACGGAGGAGTTAGCCCTATGTAATCAGAACCTTGAGTGAGCTTTAATTGGGGAAAACATGCTGAAAACTACTCATTGGACTTGCAAAGGAGAACATGGTGAAAATCATTGGTTTGAGTTATCAGTTTCTGCTTCATAGAAGAAATTACAGTTATAGTTTAATTAATCATTAGGGAAAGTAATCTGATGGTGCTGTGCTATGGAAACAAGACTGGGGAGCGGTTTTTTTCTGTTCTCCTGCCTCTTCACCATCCCTCCAAACCTCTGACATCACTGAAGAAGGGTGACAGAATAGGAAATGAGTTGTCAGCCTCTCTTGAAAAGATGAGAGGGGAAGAGATTAATTTCAGAGACTGAAATGAGAGGATGAGATGCTGGGACAGATAGTTTGTTATGAAGTACTACTGCTATAAATGCCCTTTGGATAGGTGGGCTGGACCCTTCAGTTTTTGGGTTTGGGGGTGTTTGTTTGTTTGGGGTTTTTTGTTAATTTTTTCTGTGGAGAAGCTTAGTATGGGAATCTCAGACCAAACAAATGCAAAACAAATTCTGACATTTTAGGCTGCGGTCTGACCAAATTAGTTGTACTTCAGAAGTAAGTAATTGTTGTCAGAGTCAAAAAGTTGATCAACATCAAGTGTGAAAAAGCAGATATTTTATTTCTGTGATTAAAATATCTTTATTACACTTTTCAGATTATAATAATGAAGATGAATTTGGAAGAAAGTTGAGGTTCCTCTTGCAGCAGCTTCCACCTGTTAATTACAGTTTGTTAAAGTTTCTGTGTAAATTTTTAGCTAATGTAGCATCGCATCATGAAGAAATGTGGTCTGCAAGTTCTTTAGCTGCAGTCTTTGGCCCGGATGTTTTTCAGTAAGTTAGTTATAAAAGTTCATGCGGTGTTTTTATGTGAATTTGGCAGTGTATGTCTCTAGTCTTAAGTCTCTCTTAGTCCATGAGTAACAGTAGCAAGTACACAATATGTTTCAGGCAGTATCTTTCTGTTCTGTTCCCCCCTCCCTAGTTTTGTCGTGCAATTTTTGCTCTGACCTAAACAACACCTTGTTTATGGCTTTAGAAACCACTGATTTGGTTGTTGCATTACTGTAACTGGACTGAGGGTTCAAAATTTTCAGAGACACTCTGTAGGGTTACTGTTTGTAGCAAGAAAGCAAGCAGTTGTGAGAGAGAGCTGTTAAAGTACAAACATATACTGGGGTTTTCTCTCTACAGGAAAATACTTAACTTTTCATGAGGAACATTTAAAATTCAATTGACTAAATAGTTGTTACTTCATCACTTTTAAATGTAGACTAGTATAAAGCTTTGTAATACAGTAGTGTGAAGGTATGCTTAAAGTTCTGAGTGTTCAGAATGGATTAGGGATAATGGTGTGGAGTATAGCCCTTAGTCATAGAAGTCATTCACAGGACTTCTTTGGGGAAACAGTTGGATTTAGATTTTTAAACTAAACCAGTGTTGAAATCTTTAGCATTTACACAGATGTGGAGGATCTGAAAGAACAAGAAATAGTTAGCAGAATTATGGCGGGACTTCTGGAGAACTACTATGAATTCTTTGAAAATGAAGAGGAAGATTTTTCATCTACTAATGATTTAAGCTCAATAACTGAGCAGGTAAGAATATTTTAAATGACAGTATGTTCTCACTTAAGTAACTGTTATACACATTTATGTTTATGAAAGATACGTTGAAATACAATTTTCTTTAATATGCCTTTCAGTAGTTTCTTGCAAGCTGACAAAACCTGGTATTTCCTTAACTTAGGTATGCTTGTGAAGTTCTTGCTTTGTAGTAAGTACAGCTATGCTACATAGAAAAATACATCAGAACTAAGCCAACAGTGATACCCTGCCCAACATAGACGCTGTTATGCTATATAACTGTATAGCTTTTTAATTACCTTTTTAGGAAAGGCGAACTGTTTGTTAAGCAAATGCAGAACCATGCTGTTGTCTGTCTTGGTCAATATTTCTAGGTGTGTCTTATAGAAACATGCAGGGTCTCGCACTCCACTTGGTGATGTTATCAGTGGTAGTTCCCTATGCCAAAATTTTTGAGTTGTGTTTGATTCCAAGACTTGAAATGATCATTTTGACATTAATGGGGAAAACTGTTGAAATTAAAGAAACAAAATTAAGTAGAATAGAAATACTCTGGGTTCCAGCATTCAACTGTCAGGATTGCCAGGTTCACCTGTCCATGTGACTGGTGGTATCTATTATCACTCTTATGCCTTTCCTCATAACAAATTTAATTTTGGAAGTAAAATACCATGTTATGCTGGGATAAAAAGAGATGGAGAGTTATTAGGGAAATGAAAATGTGGTATTGTGATACAACCTGCTTCTGTTGGCAAATGTTTTTAATTCTAACAAGTCATGGTATATTAGTGATAATGCATGGAAGAAGCACTTTTTGTATCATCAAAGCCAGGCTCTTGAATTATTAATAAAATCTTGGCTCAAAGCCTTCCTCAGAAATATGGAAAGCTATAAACTCAATTTTCTCGTGTTCAGTTGGCTTAAGAAATGATGTATTTTCTTTAAAGAGGAAAAAGCGTAAATAACCAGCAGTTGCTAAGGAAGGTAGCAAGAAATACTGAATTTTTAAAGCCTAACTATCCCACAACCCCTCCCCTAGCAAGACAGGTAAGGCAAGTACTAAGGCAGCTGGTTGCTTCCTCTTCACTGCAGTAGACACCTCACCCATTGGTCTGGTCTGCCAAGCGTGGGCAGCAAGTTCTGGAGTGAGCAGCTTCTGCTTTGCTGGCTCTTCTAGCAAAGTGCTGCAGCTTTGCAATGTTTGCTGTCTCTCTAGCTCTTTGCAGGAATATGTCTAGCACTGAGAACTGACACAGCCCTGCTGCATGCCGGAAGCTGTTAAATAAAGCTGGGCTGTAACTTTTGCAACCTGAGGCTGAGGACTATCGTCTTAGGTTGGGATGACTGTTCTTTAAAGTGTAGTTAGTTGATCTTATGCTTTGAAATTACTGACTTCTCTGTGGGTCACAATATGTTTTAGCAAAAGGTTTTCCCAAGCATAACAGTCCATGTGGCGTGTTGGTTGTTTTTTTTTTCTTTTTCCCCTAAGTTTGAGGCCTGGTGGGGTGTCCCTTTAATTTCGTGGTGTCTCCACCAGATGTCCACAGTGCACTTCTGTTGGGTCCCGCTCCTTCCCAGGCTGGTGCAGTGGGGGTACAGGAGGGCTGCTGTCCCCACTGGGCGCAGCCCCACTGGCAGCTGACTCTGCACGTTGGCTTGCCCTTGGTTCATTGGCACATCCTCTCGCAAGTACAGAGGAAAGTCAGGGATAAATATCTTTCCTGCCCTGAATGTAGTGCCATATAACACATCACACCTCTTTTAAAAATAAACACTTCTTCTCTGCCTTCCCTGTAATCTTAAACTTCTAAAGTTTCAATTTTTTTAATTCAGTGTGTTGTTTTATATTTGTGGCAGATACTATAAAGCGTATTTTCTTGAGGTTGCTGCTGCTACTTTATTTTTTAGGTTTGTGAGTTTGGGAGATCAGTAATGAACCACAGAGAGGATTTGTGAATCAAACAAATCACTTCGTTGTGTTTACCTTTTTATATTTTAGACATAGTTGCTTTTTAAAAAATGAAGGTGTCTCTATTGACTTGGCAATTGGCTATATTGTTTTATGTTTAAAATTGGCTATATTTTACTGCTTCAGTGCTTGGAAACAAAAGAAACAAAAATAGACAAGAGGCTTCACAGAAACTTCTCAACACTGTTGCTCTTACACTTGCCTTTAAGTATTCATTCAGTACCTTTAAAGTCTGGATTCTTAGACTTCTACATTGCCTTCCATAAAGGGGTGTCACACAGCTGCTTGCTCACTCTTCTCCCCCCTCAGTGGATGGGGGGGAGAAATCGGGGGGAAAAAAAAAAAGTAAAACTTGTGGATTGAGGTAAAGACAGTTTAATAGGAGAGAAAAAGGAAGGAATAATAATAATAGTAATAATGATAAAATAATATACAAAACAAGTGATACACAATACAGTTGCTTACCACCTGCTGAGTGATATCCAGCTAGTTCCCAAGGTGCAGTTGCTGCCCCCAGCCAGCTCCCCCTAGTTTTATATACTAAGCGTGATGTCGTTGTATGGTATGGGTTATCCCTTTGGCCAGTTGGGGTCAGCTGTCCTGGCTGTGTCCCTTCCCATCTTCTTGTGCACCTCCTCACTGGCAGAACGCGGGAAGCTGGAAAGTCCTTGACTTAATATAAGCACTGCTTAGCAACAACTGAAACAGCAGTATGTTACTGACATTATTCTCACAATAAATCCAAAATACAGCACTATACCAGCTACTAGGAAGAAAATTGACTCTACTGCAGCCAAAACCAGGACAAAGGTTTTGAAAATGCTTCTTGTATATGAATAAGGCTACCTGTGAAATAGAGAAGAATTACCTGTCCCTGTTTTATATGTAGAGGAAGAAAGGCTCTGTGCTGTGTGACTTCAGTGTGCCCGGGATTTTGTTGTTTCTTGATGCTGCTTATGTTCATTTATTGCATCAAAGAGGCTTCTTTTTTCAGTTTTTGCCTCATGTTTCAAAAGGGTTACGTAGCTTTTTAATGATGTGGAATGTATGATTTTACATAAAAGCAAGTCTAGCTGGCTGTGTCCCTTCCCATCTTCTTGTGCACCTCCTCACTGGCAGAACGCGGGAAGCTGGAAAGTCCTTGACTTAATATAAGCACTGCTTAGCAACAACTGAAACAGCAGTATGTTACTGACATTATTCTCACAATAAATCCAAAATACAGCACTATACCAGCTACTAGGAAGAAAATTGACTCTACTGCAGCCAAAACCAGGACAAAGGTTTTGAAAATGCTTCTTGTATATGAATAAGGCTACCTGTGAAATAGAGAAGAATTACCTGTCCCTGTTTTATATGTAGAGGAAGAAAGGCTCTGTGCTGTGTGACTTCAGTGTGCCCGGGATTTTGTTGTTTCTTGATGCTGCTTATGTTCATTTATTGCATCAAAGAGGCTTCTTTTTTCAGTTTTTGCCTCATGTTTCAAAAGGGTTACGTAGCTTTTTAATGATGTGGAATGTATGATTTTACATAAAAGCAAGTCTAGCGTGCCTGTTTTTCTAAAATTGAAAAATGTTCTCCTCTTACATGTATGTTGTGTTTGTAACTCTCATGCTGTTTTAAGTCCCTGTACCTCTTAAAAGAACTTTTCAAGCTATTAACTCTTGTTGTGGTTTAACCTCAGCTGGCAACTAAGCACCACCCAGCCACTCGCTCACTCCCCCCATGGCAGGATGGGGGAGAGAATCGGAAGGGTAAAAGTGAGAAAACTCGTGGGTTGAGATAAAGAGAGTTTAAGAGGTAAAGCAAAAGCTGCGCACACAAGCAAAGCAAAACAAGGAATTCATTCACGACTTCCCATCAGCAGGCAGGTGTTCAGTCATCTTTAGGAAAGCAGGGCTCCATCACATGTAGCGGTTACTTGGGAAGACAAACGGTGTAACTCTGAATATCGTGTCGTTCCCCCTCCCCCCCGCTGCCCCGCGCCTTCCTTCTTCTTCCCCCAGCTTTATATGTTGAGCGTGACACCATATGGTATGGAATATCCCTTTGGCCAGTTGGAGTCAGCTGTCCTGGCTGTGTCCCGTCCCAGCTTCTTGTGCACCACCAGCCTCCTTGCTGGTGGGGTGAGAAACAGAGAAGACCTTGACGGTGTGAGAGCACTGCTCAGCAATAACAAAAACATCTCTATGTTATCAACACTGTTTTCAGCACAAATCCAAACATAGTGCCATACTAGCTACTGTGAAGAAAATTAACTCTATCCCAGCTGAAACCAGCACAACTGTGAATAAATCTCTTTTTTTAGATCAATGATCTCTTGGAAGAGGAGGAAGATGTAAAGCTTGAGCAGTCTGAAGAACTTCCAGAAGATGGCACAGAGAAACCTGTTGAAAGGCCAGCTGTGGTGCATCTAGATATGACAGGGACTCTCTCGGATTCCAGGAGCGTTACAGCATCAACAAGGTAACTTGTTTCTTCCTTGGAGTTTGTATTTAAAGTTTGGAGTATAGCCTGTTCAGTCTGAGAGAAAGAAGCTGTCAGGCTTTTGAGATAAGTGGTGGTGTCTACAAACTGAAGCTTTAGAAGTAGGTGCGGTTCTTGTAGTAGTAAAATACGGGATAAAATAACTGTTTCCAAATTCAGAAGAGGAATGCCTGTAGGACTCAGATTGGATTAAATACGGTGATTTACACAGAGAAAAGGAAAAAGGGCATACTTTAGTGAAACTGTAAAGTGGTATTTACATAGTAAACTTTGTAGCAGAAATATAAAAATAATCTGAATATTGGTAGATGCAAACCCATTCTGTACCATCTTTCCACCACTCCCTTTCAGTGGGGAATCCTAAGACTATTACTTGTCATGTGTTAGTGAGCAGAGATGTGTCCTTACATGACCCTAATTAATTTCTAAACCTTTGGGAATTTGTTTGTACAGGTTTTTTTTTATGCCCAGTTTGGTCATGTGTTAAATGAGGAAAGTCGTTTCTTATTTCACTAGAGTACAGTGGAATATATTTCATAAAACTGTTGTAATGAAAACTCTGTAGATGTGACTTCTTCCTGAAAATATGCTAGAGAGAGAAAATACCAGGGATGAAGAGGAACTATATATGACCAAAAGGATAGTGGAGAGCAAGTGGGATAATACTGACCATTAATGATTTTTAGGTTGGAATTTAATGGTTCTAGAAAGGCCTTTAGTAGGAGCAGCATGGAGGAAATTCTGAGCACTTTAGAGATGGCATTTTGTAAGGTAATACATGAGACTTCGTAGACTGGGTTGCTTGCAAAAACACTTGATTTGAGGGTTCAGAAAGTCTCCTTAATTTGAGTTGAAATGAAGACTCTGGATACCCTGTTTTGTTAAAGTTGATTTACGAATATATTTGTAAAACACTGGAAGATCCTTCTTCGTTTAACTTAAACTCTGCCAACAGGTTGATGTAGCTTTCTTATATCAATGTAGGAGTGACATGACTGGCACCTATGTGTGAGTTGAGGTTTAATTTGTTAACTGCTTTTAAGAAAAAAGTCACTAGAAAAAGGCATAGAAAGCCAAGGTCTCGCATTGTCCAAACAGGTATAACGGCTGCTGAAGCTGGAGGGACCTGTGTTACCTGCCTAAGAGCCAGACTCAGTAGAGGGATCTGTTTGGGTAGACTCTGCTGGTAGAGAGCTGGGAGCACATTTGGAAGCTGCAAAATGTTAATATAGGCAGAAGTATTGCAGTGGGAGTCAGCTTTTAATTAAGACCAATCCTCATGAAGGAGATGCATAAACTTAAAAGTGGTACGTCCATTTGAGAGCTTATTTGCACTTGCTTGTAATACAGAGGTTGAGGTTTTACTTGCTCATAGTACACTGGTTTTAATTTTTAAGGCTACTTTACTTGCATTATAGTTTACATAGCTCTACGTCATGTGTTAGGTATGGGCATTGCATGTAAGAAGTTGTGGGGTGGTGTGAGGAAGAATCTGTAACAAATCTATAAGTTGACTAAAAGCAGAAGGAATGCAGGGAAAATCACAAGTAAATTTACTGCCTAAGGCTGAGTAGTCTCAAGAATGTGGATTTCAGGTTGAAATCTGTTCAGCTGCTTGGCTGCACACTTCCTTCTACTTCATGGCAAGAATTTGTAAAGTGTACAATAATAAGAGAAACATAATTCTGTTTTGTAATTTAAATTATATTTTAATAGTTAATTATCCTTGTCAGCAATAGAGCTGTTTAATTTTAGTTTGAGTTAATTAAAAAAACCCCAAAGTTGCTACAATTGGAATTTCTACAAAAGTGCTCCATCTCCCAATTAACGTTTTAAAGCAATTTAACTATTCTCAGGTATTTGGAGAATGTGGAATGTGTAAGCGCAGCAGTAGTAACAAACTCAACACATTTGAGAGTTTAAATTTGATAGCCTGAAGAGAAAAACATTTTTACTCAATGTTTAGGGTTAATTAAAAATTAATAGGCATTAATTATGGTTGACATTTTATGTAATTTGTGGGGAAGGATAGGGAGGAATCCTGTAGAATAAGAAAGAATTTTGACTGTAAACCCAGAACAACTGCAGGAAACGTTTAAAAAAAAAATAAATTACAGAGAATGAGAAAATATGCTTTATTAAACTTTTAACCACTGTAAATGTTTTCCCAAACTTAAAGGCTTTCATAGTATGCATTTAATGGCCTTTTTTTGGTTTAGTTTCCTGACATAAAAAAATAATAATTAAAAAAAGCAAATGTTAATGTAGGTTTATTGGGATGTTTGTTTTGACATAGGGCCTGCAGCAGCTTATAAAGGAAGGAGGAGGAGAAGTAGGTCTTAAACATGATTCTTGCAGTTCCTTCACCCGGAGTTTTGTTGCCTCGCTGCTGCTGTCAGATTTTGGGAACCGAGGATCTGTGTATTTTGTTCTCTTTATGGAGGAAAGGAAAAGAACACTGAGGCTGCATGTTCTGCATGTTGAAGATTGGTTTTCTTGATTATATAGTTATTTGGACTATAACTTGCTTATAATTTTGCTCACTACCTTTTTCCTTTACTTGTTCTGTTTGTTCTTTCTGAAACATATGACCTTCATGCACTGCATGGTGTTAATTTGACTTTGAGTTAAAGATCTGGTGAGAATGTGGATAATCATTAATGCAGTTTGATTTAGTGACTGCTTGAAAGCGGTATTTAAAATAAACCTGTTGAATGATCTTTAAGCCCGTTACCCAATCAGGGAGCATTTGTTGCACACGAGTTGATACTGTGTATGTAAAGGAAACATCATATTCTCCGTTATCAGAAACCTATTTCACCATGGCTCTTTCGGTTTTGCTGTCCTGACTTGCGGCGAAAGGAATTACTGACTCAGCATTGCAGCTGACTTTTAAGACGTGCTGGTGGAACAATCACTTCAGAATCCTTCTCTGTCGTTATTCCAAATTTTTCATCACTGCACTTTGCCGAGCAGTATTTGCTTTACTTTTTGCAGTTCATCTTAAATATTGTCAGTCAAAAGCCTAATATAAAACTCTTGATAGGTTCTTTGGGCTTTTCAAAATTATATGTGTAAAAACATGAGATATGGCAAGTAGTAAGTTCTGTACACAGTTTGCTTTGTCTGTACTAAATGCAATGACAAAGGCGAGCTCCTCACTGCTTGTTTGATATTTTTGTTAACCCTTTTCTGTTTTCATTATCCCTGATCAGTGAGAGGCAATAATATTAACAGCAACAAAATGAGACAAAAATGCTTGTATAGTAAGACTAACCGAATGCAACAACTGCCTGAATTGCTAGAAAATACATTGTTGTTTTAGTCTAGCACTCTCTTTAACATCCAAATACTGGTCCTTTCTTCCATCCTAGAAAATCTGTGAACAACATGTTAGGAGAGCTTTCAAGTGTTGATTGGGCAGCTTATTGTCAGGAGTGACCTCATGTTGCAGTCTATTTCTATTTAGACTGCAGGGTTTAGTGCAGCACTCCAGAAGTACTGTCTGACAAGCAGCATTGAATCCCAGCAAGCAGTATGCATAACCAGCAGCCAACATCACGCTTTGCTGTTTTTCAAATGAAGCATTTTTACATGAAGTGCTCATTTGGGATAGCAAAAATAATCAGAATGGCCTGTAAAGTTCTGCTGCACAGGTAAATATATGAAAGGAAAATGTTGCTTTGATATGATTGCAAATAAGACTTTTTTTTTTTTAACCTTAAAATTATGTGAGATTAAATGTATCTTGGATATATTGTGAAATGAAATAATGTCACAACTAGGTTTTTTTTTTTTCTAAATGAGAAATAAGGATGTGTGTACCGTCACTAAATTACCAAGAAAAACTTTGAAATGCTTTATCTCTAGCTAATGTATTTTTCTGTCTTAAGATGTGTGTTTACCAGGACTTTTTATGGGTAGGGAGACAGTGCAAAAAAGATTCTCGGGAGAGGGTGAACATTATGACAGTGCAAAAAGGATTCTCGGGAGAGGGTGAACGTTATGAAATAAAGATGTTTACCTTTCTGTGTCTTGCTGTGTCATGCTGCGTTAAGACTCTGAGCAGCAGTATAAATTACAGCTTTAAAAAAGTATCCTTGAACTGTGGTACACCAGTTTGGGAGTTGTAATGTATTTTCAGCTAAGAGCGACTGACACATTTCTTTCAAAAAGTGCTTAACTGCTAACAAGATTAGTTGAAGACATATTCTTTACGTAGTAAGAGGATTCTTCACGCGTTGCAATACTGCTGATTTATGTACATCTTCTGCTGAGTACCTCTAATGCATCTAAAGGTGTTCAATAAAAGCACTAGTGAACAATCGTACTCTGGGGGCTGAAGGTTATGCAGCAAGATGGAAAATTTTGTTGTGAACAATGTCTGAAATCTTTTGGATTCTTTGGAGATGGGTTTGATTCTCCCCACTCTTGACACAGTTCCTCATTGTCTCAAGTGGTAGAATAAAAGGATTCCAGGTCATCAGTGTTTCCTATAAATAGTATTTGTACTTGTGTCCTTGACTTAATGTTTTTTTGCTCTCTTACAACTACAGTGTTGCAGTGTTCTGTGCTTTGTTCCCCCCCCAATTTATCCTAGGAGTGGCTGTTTTAACAGTAAATTTATTTGAATGTGTACAACTACGTATTAGTACTTTTAGAAAGTAAGCATACCTTTTAAAATGCAGCTTTTATAGAACTTACTGAAAATACTGAGATCAGGTATTTAAAACAACATTTTTTCGTGTTTTGGAATCTTACTGTTTTTTTTCCTCTCAGATTCTTGCTCATGCCCCTCCTCTTGTTCATGGAGCTGAACTTATTCACAGCTTTATGTCTTCAGTTTTGATATTTTAAATATTGTCAAAACAAAAATTGTTTATCAGAAAACTTAAACTCTTTCCACAAGTAGTGGGGCTGTGCTGAACTGTGCACAGATACATCAATGCAATGTAAATATCTTAAGTTGTAAACTTTTTCTTACCATGTCTTTCTTTGAAAGAGAAAAAACGAAATGCCAGTGTGTTCACCCTCAGTTGTTTGATCTAGCAGCTTTGAAATTAGCAGCTACAGGAGCTGGCTTTGACATCAGTGTTTTAATTTTCCAAAGCTATGTGGCAATGTCTATTTTGAAATAGTAGTTTAGAGCTGCCTGTTCTGTCCAAGCATTTGGTTTTTTACCTAAGCAAGCAATAAAGTGAGCTTCATTAAAAAGCAAGTTTCCATTTAAAAAAAAAAAAGAGAGAGAAAAAAAAAAAAGAAATTAAAAACTTCTGTGAACACCTGCTTGTTCAGTTGTTACATGGTGGTGTTTAAACACAGTGTGCTTTGGCTGTTGACCCAGTACATGTTGTCTAAGGCAGAAGACCATAATTATTTTTAAATAAATACTTTAACCACTTTCCTTATCAGCTAGTGTTTAACTGAAAGTCCTTTATTGCTGTGTTTCATCTACTTACAGGAAGAAAAAATAGCAAGTCTGCTTGAAGTGATCTTATTATCTTACCTCTCGTGGTAGAACTACTAATAAACTTGTTAAGGTCTATCCAAGGTATTCCTTGCTGTATTAAAACTATTCTTGAGTAAGCAGAGAGAGTCTCTACATTTTTTTTAGCACAAGCAAGACTCTCTTGCAGAGGTAGTACCTGCTCAGTTCTCCAGTGAAGTGGCAAGCTTCCTTGTATTTCAAGGTTTACTTTATGCATTCATGAAAATAATATTTAAAATCAACTCTGGCCACCAACAATGTTGTTGCATGGTAAAGAGTAGATGAAAATTTCATTTTTCAGCTTTCTGAGCTTAGTTTTATTTAATAGGAAGAAAAAGCATTTATTTACTGTCCTCCCCACCTCCTAGTTGAAATTGTTAGTATTTATTTTTTTCTGAATAAGGTAGAGTAGAGTTTTCTTTTATTTCGTTCTTAGCACATTTACCGTCACTTTGTCTAAAATTTAAATATTCTGTTTATAATGACAGAATTTTGATCATATTAATGGAAAATTGAAGTGGGAGCACATACATGAGCTAACTTACTTGTGTTAGATTACACTGATTTCCATCCTTCTACCTCCCCTAGAAGTTTAACTTTTAGACTAAAGTGACTTCTGCTAGGAGATTTTCAAATGCTTTACAAATGGCTAGCTTGTGTCTCAAAACCTCTGGAAGGTACCTGCCTTGCACTTGAAATGTAGCTGTCCTTGGAGAGAGCTGCAGATCGGTTGAACACTGCAGAATAAAATTATGCAACAGTCTGACAGGCAGGAAGAACCTCTATGAATTGCAACTGTGGATGAAAGCAGAGTAATTTGGAACTTGCTTTAGGCAGCAAGGTTAAAATCTGCATTCTTAAGCAAGGTGTCAGGAAATCTTTGGAGACTAAGTGATTACTATTTCCCATGGGAAAGACTGTAGATCTGAGAGCTTATAGCCTCATAGTATATTGAGTATTGGCTCTTGAGAGACAGAAATATGCATTGCTACTTCTACAACTTTCTCTTATAATGGCATTCTTTAAGACTTCTTTGTCTAAATAAAAGGGACTGCAAACCAGCGTTTTCTTTACATATTTATTCTACTTGTATTAGACATGTTACATGCTGTCTTTAAGTATTTTCTAAGTTGCTTTCTGTTGACTTCAAGACTTTTATTTAGTGTGATAAGTTTTTGCATTACATTAACTTACTTCTTCTTTATTGCAGTGCTCATATCTCTCCCATAAGTATCTTGCCAGCCTCTGCAGAGTAAGTATAAAGAAAATATAAAATGTTTGAATTGTGCTGTTACTAGACTGTGCATAGAAGATATGTCTTCTTTAAAGAAAAAGAAATGCAGTAGGTTTGATGGTTGCAGTTAAGAATGAACATGTTCTAGCGAGAAGTATTTCACTTATGGCATTTAATGCTAATGCAGGAAAAAAAAACTTACTGTCTGTCAGTGGTGTTGACTGCAGAAGCATGAGAGCACAGTATGGTAGAATCTAGATTGCAAAACACTTTGGTTTTATACTTACATACATCATAGGTGTTTGACTTGAAAATTATGATAGCATTCATATTGTATTTTTAGCACGACTTCTAGTTGTTAATATTGAGTACAGTTCAGTGGAATTGCGTGTACAAATGTAGAGGAAAAATAAAAGCGCAATTCCAGAGTTAAAAATGGGGTAAAATAGTTTAAGATTCTTACAGGAGGATTTTTATAGGCCTAATTGTGTATTTCGGATGAGCTGGCTAAGCAACAGTCAACAGAGTAGCCTGTTTTTAAAGAATGCTGTTCTGTTCTTGATGTATCTTTGGGTATATCCTGTGTCCTTTGTCAGGTACTTCAACATTGTCTCTGCTATTTGTTGGCTCTTGCCTTTTAAGACTACAGTGGGTTACAGCCAGCTGTGCTGAAGTAGTACCTGTTATAGACAAAGGATTTTACTGTCACATTAATGTATTAGGCTTTTATAAGTTTTTGTGTATAAAGTTAGTCATTGTAATGTGTTGATTACTCTTAAAATACTGTTAGTAGACTTCATAATACTTTATGTACATCTCATGAAATAAAAGACAGTAGGGGCAGTAATTTCCAATGCCTGTTTGGAAAAGTTAGTCTCTTTTTGCCTTGAAGTGCTTGTCATCAAAGATTCCTGTCATGTGTAAAGTTTGTTATCTCTGCCTTTCTGCATAGTTGATCAATGCAAAAAGAGAGTTCTTAATATGAATTTTTTGTCTTTTCTTCTTTTCAGCATTTTAGAAAGAACAATTAGAGCAGCTGTGGAACAGCACCTTTTCGACCTGCAGAGCAGCTTAGATAATGATCTTAAACATATACAGCAACACAGCCTGGGCTGTAACAACGAAGCAAAAAATCCCAGTGGGGATGAGGAAGGATCTAACAACCAGTAAGATATTGTTGTATCTGTGATTAATTCTGTAGGATTGTGTATCTTAACTCTTCCAAAACAAAGTACCCCAATCCACCACCTCAACCCAAAACAAAAGTTACAACTTGTGCTATTAACTTCAATTTATCTCATACTTTAAACCAAATCAATTTCCATCAGTTGCCAGTGATGAAGAGCTCTTGAAGCAAATATTTTAAATTGATATTATAGCTAAAAATGTTGTGAAGTGTAAGTGGTTCACTGATGAATTCTGTGCAAGTACCACAAGAACTTAAATTTACCCAAGTGCTTTCATTCTTACCTCAGTGATGTTACCTATAACACAATTTTACCTTATGAAAGCTACTGTAGATGCTGCTTCGGATTCTTTACCTTATCTTTCTGCGTCAACATAGCTATTTTACTGCTCTGGCTGCCAGTGTCAACGAAACAGCTAGAAATGGATAGAATGAGCACTGTGGGTCTATTTGCATAGAGTTTCAGCCTCATTTGATCAGCTTTTATTTTTATTGTAAATCTTCCCTGTTGTGAGTGTAGCGATTGCCATGGCAGCATTGAGAAGCTGGTATATTTTGGTGCTTTATTAAAAATAAATAGTCATGATTAATACCCAAACTCCAAAAATGTGTAGTTAAGTAGGACTTCAGTGTCTAAATTCCTTTGCTGCTCAGAGCCTGAAATACGTGAAGTATTCAGAGACTCAAATGTTGTTTTCGAAATGGTTCAATCTTTACTGTTTTTAGAAGTCTTATCTGTGACAAGAGTTCAGACTAAAGTTAGCAGTTGATAATAAAAATAATAATTATTGCTAGTAATGATCAATTAAAACTGAGTTTTAGTGTTAGAGACTTAATGTCTTCGAAGTAATTTATAAGTAGGTGGGCAATTGCCTGAAAGACCTGTTGCAGCCAAATTCTTTCAGTTACAGCGTAAGTGCTTTAAAGGCTGTCTGACTTCACAGAAGTAGAGGCTAAAAGTACCATCACTGCAGGTTTGAAACCAATATACCGTTCTGGCACAGTGACTATTTCAAATGCTTCTGATCATCGTTCCACTGTGGATACGTGATAGTGTTCTAGAAAGAGGTCGTCTGGGTCCTTTAAAACAGTGCTGCCGGCAAACTATGCACAAGGCAAACACACAGTTAAATGAATAACTATAATTTGCAGTGATCCAGTGCAAATTTCTTACAGCTAACTTAAAATAATTGCTGGAATGAAGAAAAGAGAGTTAAAATGTTAAGTTCTGAACAATCCTGTTTAGTATCTGTATATCTGATAGAGGAGGAGCATTTCTAAAGGTAGTTTGGAATTTGTGAGCGAGGAGAAGGCAGGCAAGGAATTCAAAGGCTTGTGAGGAATTACAGAATTGTGGTAACAGGGAAGCTGGCTTGTAAAGAATATATGGATGTAAATATGGTATGAGTTAGTTACAAGCCTTAAGTTGAATTCTAGGAGGCTTAAATGTCAGAAATAATGGGATCTCTCACTGGAGAGATATAGCGATAGCTGTAAACTAACTGGCTTCAGTACTGAGAGGAGCGTAGCCCCAGCAGCTTCATCTAGTCACAGTAGTTTTAATATGTCGTTTCTTCAGGCTGTTGGCACTTCATTCCTGAGGTTAGCATAGTAAGTGGGGGATGTATGCCTGATTGCTAATACAAGAATCAAATAAATACATTGTAATAGCTATCATAAATATAATTGTAGAAAACCTCAGAAGTGTATGTATAAACTACACAAATAATTAAATTTTCCTACAGGTGATTGGAATTGTAGATATTACTAGTATCTTTGGTCAGAATAATTTTGTTTTGAAAAACCTGATGTTTGATATTGTTTAAGAAAAAAAACACAAACAAAAATACCTGTGGGTTTTTTTTCTTTTAAAGGTAGAACAATAGGTTGCTAAAGTCTTTCTGTTCTTCTCTTTAGGAATGATGTTATTGAAGATAATGACACTGGTAGCAGTGAGAACACAAGAGACTGCTCTGAAGTATTGGTTTGCACTGATTTAGACAGTGAAGCTATGAAACATGATACTGTAACTGAGGAAGAAGAAAGCGTTCAGGTGAGAGGAAGAGCCTCCTGTGTATGAAAATCATAAATTGCCGTGACTTTAGCAAAGTGCTTTAGAGATCCAAGTTTTCCTAATAGCTCTGATGCAGCCTTACATGGCACTGTTGCTCTGTGCAGTTAATTGTCCTTCTGCTGTGCACGTTTCGTAGACATGCACAGAGAAATTTTTGTGTACTTTGGTGCAACTTGTTTGGACCCTGACTAATGTTTTTCTATTGGTCTTTCACAGGTACCAGGCCTTCCTTCTGCTCAGGTAAGTCAGTGTATCAGCAAGCATAGCACCAGTTAGAACAGCATCTGTATTAGTAAAGGCTTCTTGAGGAGCAGAAGGTCTAGAGCTGTGGTTGTAGCATAGCCCACAGTTAGTCACACCTTTTACTGTATCAAGAAAGGGTAGAAGTAGCAGTGACCTTGAGACTTTGCAGCCTCTTGACTATGCTTGTGTGATTTTGTAATTAGCGTATTAAAAAGAAAAAAAACCCAAACTTGTTTCTCAGCCTTTTCCCGCTGCTTCCAGTTTATTCTGTGGTAGGCATAGATGTCCTGTTCTTTTCAACACATCTTCATCTCCTTTCTGGTTGAAAGAGGTTCTGTTGCTTCTCCTTGGACCTCTTTGCTTAGATACTTGACTCCTGCTGTGCTGATAGCTCATGGTCTTCCCTACTGAATTCTTACACTTGAGGTGTTCTAAAGAAAAATGAAAGAAAATTAAACTTGTTACCTCCTGAAGAGGTTCAACATTTCAACACTTCCATTGTCATCTTGAAAAGTATCGGGGTTGACCATTTGTATTCCAAAGCAGAAAAACCTGTCTAGAGTGCTGCAGGAGCACATATTAGGGTGTGATGCTAACATGCTTGTAAAAATACCATACTTGGTTGTATTTTTTAAAAACTCTATTTTCTGAGCAAAACAATGTTAATGATACTTGAAGTTGCTGTTAAAAGTTCAGAAGGCAACTGAAAATGTCAACAACAGACCCCAGGGTAGTCAGGTGTCATAGATTTAATTTTGGCTTCGCTTTTATATATTATGCTTGAGTTGAACAGCTTCATGTCACTGAAAGAAGCAAGTATTGTATACAGTTTGAATGGAAGCCCAGTATTGTAGCGACTATAAATGTTGAAATAATTGTTTGCCCTATACAACAAACATTCTTTGAGCTGCAGATTATTAGATCTCCACATACAATCAAATGTGAAGTTTTGTAGTATGTATGGCCTGAATTCGTAATGATGGCTTGAACTGTACCAGCACTTCTTGTTAGCGAGCAGACATCAGGCTCATTCAGGCTATCGTTATGCGATCAAGCAATGCTGTAAAATATGTGCTGACAAAAATGAAATCAAGTATAACAGTAATATGCAGGAGAATCCAGTTTCCGCCACTCTATATGAAATAGTACATATGGAGCTGTGAAATAAGCACTCTAATGAAAAATTCAAATCTGTAGTTCCTTATTTATTTGGCAAACCTTCTGTTGTCATAAATCTAAATGACAAATTCTGTGGGTAGAGGGATTTGCTATACATGCATAGAGGACTTTATATAATGGTTTTTAGCTTCTTGCCTGTGAGTCCATAAATCTTTCTGAAGGTTTCCTGAAAGGTAACTAGATAAGCAAACCTATTGTTAGTAGACTTAAATTAACTAGAAGAATTTAATGGGTCTGTGAACTTGAAAAGGTAGAAGTGGATGCCTTAGCATAGTGAAACTGTAAGTCTTGTCTGGAATCTGTGTTTTTCTTAAAAGAAAATGTTGCCGTAGCACTCTTCACTATTTCACCTAGCCTTCTCTTTGCTTTTATGGATCCCAAATGACTCTTGAAGCACCTAACAAGGCAAATTTTTCAATTGTTCCTGCTAAGCTAACATATGGTTTTAGAATCCTATTCTAGAAATTAAAATTTCACAAAATGTACTGATTGTCCAGGTTCTTTCCTGATGCATTAGTGCCAAATCTTTTTACAAAAAAATTACTAGATTGTTATCCTATAGGACAAAATGCACAAAACATGGTGTTGCAATTAGATGATATTTTATCCAGTTCAAGTGAATACTATGTTTGCAAGAACTCTAAAAGTACAGGGTAGAGTTGCATATTTCTGCCATCAGTCTTTTTCTGACTGGCTGTTGTAAGTCTTATTTGTAGTATTTGTTTTAGGTTTTCAGTCTTTTGACAAGGAAAGCCTTCAAAAGCAACAGAGTGCGTTTCTCATTAACTCCTAACACCTTACTTCCTTCCGACTTCATAGTTAAAATATATGCTGCGCTTTAGAAACCAAAACTCAGATGGAGAAAGAAAAATTGCAAATTGATAGCTTTTCAGCGCATTTTATGCAGTTTCAATGGTTTCCAAGAACAGCTGAGAAATGTGAATTACAATTCTTATGAAGTATGCGCACTTTGGAGTTCCAAGTATATTACCATGCTAAGAACATAAATGGAGGAATGTGATGCTTGGGAGCGCATGGCCCTGTATAAATGTGCTTTTGTTGTCATACCTGATGTCATTCTTGGCCTTTTTTTGCTTTTTCATATATTTCTGTCCATTGATATCAGCAGTAAGGTGGCATTCTGGGATGAAGTTCTGTTTTTTCAATGTTAGTGTCTACCTTCTTGTTAATACACCATGTCAAATGTTACGGGAGAGTTGTATCTTTAGGGGAGATGTTAAAGGGAAATCTACTGATTCTTCTGTGTGCAAGGAATTTGAGGGGCCTGTAGGACTGTAGGAAATGAAAGATGTGCTCTCTCCTTTGGGTCTGAAATGGAAACAGAAGCAGCTGTTTCCACAACTACAATAACTACAAAACTACATAGTGTAACTGCGCAAGACTTACACAGCTCATCTCCAGGGTGGAAGTTACCTGCTGGGAGTATGACAAATGTACTGTAATAAAAAATTGTTTCCCCAAATGGGAATTTGACTTGAGGACTGAAACAATGTAAACAGAATAATGGAATTTTGTCTAACAAGGGTGGATACCACTGTCAGCTGTGTAAAACTGGCAACTGTTATGTATATTTGAACTCTCCAGGTAACTTTATTTTATATTCAGACATTTTAAAGATCATTTGTGAGAACTTCTTGAAGTCTGAAACCAAATGTAATCTGATATTTTAAAATGACATATTTTCTATTTAAAATTTCTTATATTCCCCCAAATAAGACACTTTTTGAAGAAATCAAGTACCTGGGCTTTGGCATAAATACTCAGTCGTCAGTCTTCCTGTGCCAACTTTTAGTGAACAAAATGGTGACATGCATTCATCTGAACTTGTTTTGTGAGATGGTGTCAGAGAAATGCCAACATTTCTTCATCCCCTTCCAGTTCTGTTGCTGCTTTATTTAGTAACAGGGATTAGTAGCTCCTTTTAGAAAGTCTGTCAGACTTGTTTTATTTCATATATGCTGAGCACAAGTCTACATCCAACTCAGTTATTTTCAAGACCAGGATATACTTACTGCTATGATTTTAGTCACCCCAAACTTCATGCTATGATTACCAATTTGCAGTAGAACTGTTGGTGTTCTATTTAAAAGAAATAATTAAAAAATGGTTTGTCTGAAGATGGAAAGTCATAGTCTGTCTTCTAGTGATTAAAACACCTGGTTACTGGCTTTACTTTAGATGTAAAAATATTGCATGGTTAAAATGTATGATTTCCACCCCCAAACAGAAAGCTGTGCTTTTAGTTCTTGAGGGTGTGTTTTGTGGTCAGTGATGAATATAGAATTGTTTTCAACTGGGAATGCCATTCCCAAATCTTTCTAAACATACTTTTTGCCAACAGACTGCAGACATATTATTGAAACCATGTGATAAAGATGCAGATGTTGATGGAGAAAATAATAGTGAAAGGTATGTATTTTTCTTCTGTTTTCTTTCATTCTACATGGCAGAATGCATAACTTCAGTTTTGAAAAGTAAGCATACCAAACTGGTGATTTGTGACAACACAGTATAACATAAGAGAAGTAAAACTAAACAGACAACTTTTCAGATGGGAAAACAGAGAGGATAAGATGGAGTTACCTTTTTATGATGATGATACAAGAGGCATGGAACTTTGTAGACTTAGAAAATAAGTACAAACCTATATTATATATGTCATGGGTTTTTTTTGTGAACAACCCTATGTTCTGGGCAAGACAGAAACAGAAGAAGAAAAATTTATTTTCTTTAAAATATTTTGGCACATTTTATTACTCTTAATCATTGAAAAATCAATGCTGGTAATAGTGACTAGCCAGAAGACTTTAAGGTCACTTGCAGTTTGAGTTTAGTTAGCACTGATTGAAATGTCAATTTGAGTTCAACAGAGTTTTAAAATATTTAGTCCTAGTTTGAGCATAAAGGTCTGAGCTGTTTTTATTTCCAGCTTCGTTCAAGTCCAGTTGTTGTTTACATGCTTCAGCTTGAAATACTGTGTGAAGAGGGAAGGGGGTGAAGTAATGTAACTTTTGCTCCCCGGCATTTTAATTATCACTTTAAGGAAATATATTGAGTATTTGCTAAAACTGGACTAGGCTTTATGCAAGAATAAAATGTGAAAAGAGAATGTATAGTATTTACTGTCCATTAAGAACTTGTATTTAAAATAGTAACTAGGTCTGTGTCTTCTTTTTAGGCAAAATAGTATATTGCTTGGTGGCAATGATAGAATATCTTCAGAGATGTTTCTGGTAAGATTATGATTTCATGTATGTACAGACACAGCATCTTATAAACTTACATGAAATACAGATATGAAGAAAACCAGCAAATTTATCTTTTAAAGTCTTATGTTGATTGGACTGCTGCAAGGTTTGCAAAACCTCTGCTAGAGATCTCGTCATCTCGCTTCATAGAAACTTTTGGCAGCAGAGCAAGCTTATGCTTATGCATCTTGTGTAAGGACTGTTTTGTAATGCAAATAATTGATAACTGTTGGGGGCGGAGGGAAGCTTGTTTGTAATTCCTTGCGTTAGGAAAAGAATAATAATTTTTTTTTTCAGAAAACTTCCAGAAGTGCTGGAACTGGCACTGATTAGGTACCTGATTTCCAGTTGCTAAATAATAGTAAAATTGTTCTGTTACATTACTTAAATACAGGATTCAAGTAGCAAGACTTGCGATCTTAATGCAAATACTGATTCAGAGGTGTCAGAGGATGGCAACATTAATGTTTCTGATGAAGCTCTGACTGTCCAAGTACCACGTCTAGATCTGAAGAATGTATCTGATGGTGACAAATGGGAAGGTAATTTTCTCGCTTTAGCTCACCATATAGTTAACTAGCAATGATAAGTAGAACGTTTTACAAAGCAGAAGCAGCAGACAACTTACGCTTGCTTTCTTTAGTTCCATCTGAGTAATATGTTCCTATACACATGGTAAGATCAACCAAGTCATAGGTCCCATCTTGTTTCAGAACTATCTGCAACTTAATTAAGGACCTTAAAAACCTGTAAATTAAAAATAGTCAAAGGAGCAACTAAAGAAAGCAAAAAAGCCTAAGTTTCATACTAGAGGTTTTTGTGCCTTTTTTTTTTAAAGTGACGTATGGTTCCCAGGACCCTGAGTCTCTCATTCAAATTCTTAAAAGTGCTTTCTCCGATTACGTTATATAGCTAATATTTGCACTGTGTCTTTTTTTTTTTTTAAATGTAAGCTAATGAAGTTCTAATACTAGCTGAATTTGACTTAAAATCACTAAACTAGTAAACAGAGCAATTTATATTTCATTTATTCTGAAAAATCTGTTGGTTGACATTCCTGATGTTTAAAACAAGACAGATGTTGGCTTCCGTGTCATTAGACAACTTGAAATGGCTCTAGGTTTTCAAATAAAAGTAAAAGTTGCAGATGGATATTATTTCTGTGCCCCTTCTCCCTCCATTGTTTGGATTTTAGGAAAAGCAAAATGTTTAAAACATAGTTTTCTCTCAGACAGGATTTCTTATGCTTATGACCTTATTTTTCATGGCCTTCCAGGTTTAGCAAGCCCTTAAGCTTGTGACTTTACTGAACTTTGTTGCTCGAAAATGTGGTAATAAGTGTTTAGACTGTTGTTTTACTTGTCTAAAAACATAATCCCTTTGTAACCAGAGCAGAACACTCTTGTCAGTATCTTCTTTTCAAAGTATTTATCTTTTTACGTGTTCCTTATATTCTGTTTCTTCTGCCTAGTGTTGATACTCTGAATCATCACACCGTAAAAAATGCAAGTGATACAGTTTGCTAAAATACTGTGAACTGTCACTGACAGTACAATGACCCCAGTCCACTTGTTTCCAGTTTTAAAAACTTGTTAATACAACTTAGTAGATAGAGTACAGATTTTCTAGGCAGGGGCAAGGTTTTAACTTCCAACAGGCTGTTCCAGTGACAGGTATTCTTTGAGATGCCTCCAAGTGTCACAGTCAAATGTTAGCAAGACACTGGTAACAAGGAATGACTGCACTTAACTTCTGGTTGCTCTGTTACAAATATTAAAATTAGTGAAGTATACCTGGAATATATGTAGTTTAACAGTGCAGCATATACTTGTAGCATGTCACCACATAAAGCTTTGTCCTGAAGCTCATATGGTGATAACTTACTGTTAATTTGTTACCAGTGCTTACTGTTTTCCAAGTGGTCTGCATGAATCCATCCTTCACTTTTAACCCTTTTACAAATGATGAGGTTTGCAATTTGTGATTGGCTTACTTATATTTGTAAAATATTGTGGTTGGCCTTCTTGAGCCCTAGCAAACCGTACATTCAGAGTATGTCATGTCATACAGAAGTTGATTTGCAGGTGTCTGAAGACACTGAGTCCAGACTTTCATTCTTGTTGTCCAAATTAATAACTTTAGACAAAGTTAAAAAACAAAAAAAGATCCTGCTTATGTTCTCAGTGTTTTATTTACATTAATTGCTTACTTGCACATTACATTTTGTTGCATCCCTCTATTTGTGTTAATCTGATTTAATAAGTATTCTCAGAAGGTTTGTGGCTTCCTTTTTCATTATTTCCTTAAAACTGCTCATAAAAGTTGCTTTGGTTTTATTTATCCAAATATCTTTCTGTGATCTTTAACCCTTACTTTGAAAAGAAAGTAGCATATCTGTATATAAATTTATATTATAAGCTTCCTGGTAGTAATATCATGGTATTTTGCAAGAGATGTTATTTCATTGCAAAGTATTTTAACTTCGGTTTTTCTTTAGTCCTGTTTAGAATGGTTATTAAAATCTCAGCCTTCTAAGGCACTGCAAGTCCTCGTGGCATTCCACTGAACTAGATTTGCTTTGTAAAGAAATCAATACTAGTCCAAATCTTGTAACAAGATTTGGGTTATTAAAGCCTATATAATAGAAAACTTAAAGGCCTGTAACCAACAGGGTTCTTGAAAATGAATGTCAAATGTTTGCTGGCTTAAGGCAAAAATGCAGATCAGTTAATCTATGTTTCTGAGTATATTTTCTGCATTTGTCCTGCTTTTTGGAAATTGCCACCATCTTATTATTTACAAGCTGTGAGGAAAAACATATTTAGAACTTGTCTTTCGTTAACGTGAGGATGCATGAGACTCTTATTAAACTATAATAAGTCTTTACTGTTCCTGTGTCAGTTCTTTGTAAACCTTCTCAGTAAAAAGTTCAAATTTGCTAAGGACTGAGCATCCTTACCTGCCATTGAAATTGCTTGGAAGCTGAGAGTGCTCAGGGCCTGGCCCGAAAGATGGGATGTTTCTTCCTGGTACTGTATCTTCCTGCTTTACATGTTATGTATAGTTTGTTCTGACTGTGCTGTGTGTTCACTTTAGTATTTTTGCCATTCTTTTTCATTTTATTAGCGCCATGCCCTATCACTTTTCCCCTCATTGATTTCAAAACAATGCATCTGCAGAGAGAAGGGGAGGGTAAGTATGGTTCGCCATACGTTCAGTTATCTGCCTTTTGATAGTTTATGGTTTGCTTTCTAACTAACCCTTCACCTGCTGTCCCTTATATCTTGGGAATGTTCTGATCTGCAATTTTTTTTACTTTTTTCTAAAAGGTCCCCTTCTTGTATCTTGTACTGTGTAAACAGGCAAGATTATAGCTTAAAAACAAAACGAAAAATCCCAATAATACTTAGTAAATGTACAATGGAAAGCAGGTACAAGGGTTATCTTTTTAAAGATTACTTTGTGGGTTTTATTGTTGTTCTGCACACTTTGAACCCAGTTTTCAAATTTCTGATTTAAATTGGAAGATATAGGCAACTCTCTGAAAGGAAAAGGGGGGTGGGATTTTAAAGTGTTTGGAAGGCCATGTCAGCTTTTTGTTAGACAGCAACAAAAACTATATCATGAGAATTGCAAGGGATGTTAGCAACTAACTTTTTACAGGGATTTAAAAAAAATTGATTGTTTTGGAATCCCCTGCCTAAAAGAAATCACCTTCCACAAATTAAGAAATCTCTTTTTCTCAGTGGTGCCAAGATGGATTTAAACTTAAAAAACCAACAACACTCCTTTAAACAGACTTAAGCAAATGGGTATTGTACCTAAAGAGGTATTGTCAGGCTTACCTTCTTCAAAACCAAGAGGACAATCTTTCAAAGTACATGTGTAAGGTATGAAAATCAATTTCCAGAGCAAAATATTGCAATGGACAATAAATACATTCTTCTAACTTTGTACTTCTGATAAGTAAATAAGGCTCTCTTACACTGTTGAACTGTTCAGCAATGCATACTCCTAAGATACACTTTGAAAAAGGGATCCTAGTGTGCATACTTCATTTCAGTACCTTTTTCTTTCAATTGTTATATGACAGAATTTGTAGCTTTCTGACGTATTTCAATGTTTTTATTCACTTTGTGTATGACACCACATCCTTCATAGCGTACAAGACTAAGCATTGGGTACACATTTTTATTTCCTTTTGACTCTTGTTTATAATTCTGTTAACAGAAAAGTACCATTTTGTGTCCCTTTTTTATCTTCTAGATCCATTTCCTGCTTTCAAATCTTGGCAGGAGGACAGTGAATCTGGAGAAGCTCAGCTTTCCCCGCAGGCTGGAAGGATGACTAATCATCCATTGGAAGAGGACTGTCATCCGATATTGTCACATCGTAGTTTGGATTTTGGGCAAAGCCAACGTTTCTTACATGATCCAGAAACATTAGATTCTTCATCCAAAGCACTTTCTTTCATTAGGTATGTATTTTAATGCAATTTGATAGGCGTTGGGGTGGGAGATGTTACTGCCAGTATGTAAATACGGCTGTTTAAGAACTTCATGGGTTTTCATGATAAGAATTAATTGAAGACCAAGGTCAAATGTAGCATTTGATAGCCATTTGACTGGTCTGCCTGCCCAGGAATCACCATAGCAAGTCGGACCAGAGGTACATGTGGGATGGTACTGTCTCTCAAAGGGGCCACTGGCAGATGCTGAGGGGAAGAGTATAAAAACAGGGCAAGCTTGCACAGATTTCCCTGGCATTCGGTCACGTCTTCTGACACCCTGCTGTAACGGCACTTCCTGAACTGAAGACAGCGTTTATATACTTTGTTTACCAGTCTTTACTGGACTGCTGGTCTCTCATCTTTATCTAAGTTTGGGCTCTTTTTTTTCCTTTTTTTTTGTGCTAGCCTGAATATCTATTTTCATGTTGCATAATTGTGGATTTGTTTTGCGTAGCATGTTATCCACTCCCAGTAAAGAGCCAGGTTACACAAACGATTGCAACTATGGTGTGCAGTAATGCTCTGGGCAGATTCTTCATTTGGTCTGTGGAGAGTCATCATTCAGAAGGGTTGTAGGAAAGTGTCAGCTGTTAGAGGGAGAGGTGTGGGGATAGCAGTACAGTGAAGAGGTCTTTTCCTGCAGATTTAGAGGATTGAGCCTGTTTAATCCAGTGTATGAAAGTAGAGCTGTCACTAAGCAAGCTGCAAGTCATTTGTGTCACACTGGGGAGTGTGACCCTCCAAAACTGTAAATAATCTGTGACCTGTACTGTCTACTACTGTTACTATGAAAGGGGATTTAAGTAGAATTTCCATGCTTGTTGGGGAAGAAACAGTCTCATGATAATGAGAAAATCTGAAACAGGAAAGACCAAGTGTAGAATCTCCAATTCTGTCTGACATAGATTTATTGATGCAAAAGATAGTTGAAAAGTGCTGTTAAAATGATGCAGAAGACTGACCTGCAGAAAAGTGCTTTTTGTAATAGCTGTTCTTCTCATCTGAAACTAATAAGGATCTACACTAGTAGATTATTGGATTAGTATTTCTAATATCTCTAACTACGTAGATGTCACTAGCTGTGTAGAGGGATCTTTCAGGCACCTTGTGTAATAAGCGTACTAGAAAATTCTTATGGTCAGTCTTGAAATAAAAAGGCTTTTCCCAAGCAGCAAATGTCAAGGAGCTGAATGAGATGATTCAAAACCAGAATCGCATACTCTAGAAATACGTTAGTAAGGCCAGCAGATTAGATGATGTAGGTGTTTTTTAGATAAGTATCTAATATAAGGCAGTTACATGGAGCTGTCTAATTACCAAGGATTGTTCTAGCCTAGGCTTTATTCTGTACCCAATATTTCAAGAAGTACTGAGTATCTCGTAACTTAGATAAGTAGCCTAGCCACCAGAAAGATCTGAACTGTTCTAATGACGATTAACAATTAACAGTACATTAGTTTATTACACTTGAATTTCAAATGCTGTTTTTCTGTTAGGGATATTACTGAAATTAGAGAGGAAAAAATTAACACATCACCTTTTAAAGGCAGCAGATCAAAGCATTTTGATTCAGTAAGTAAATATCTCTACCTGAAAATCTGAAAAGAATACATTATGAACTGGAGGATAAAATTGAAATTGGTCATCTGCTACTCAAATATACAAGTTGTTTGTACTTGTTTAGTTATTTAAATGACACTTTAAAAATGTTTTTCATACAGAACACGAAGAGCATCCTTTAGCTCAAAGGATGAGAAAAGGGAAGACAAGACACCTTATCAGCTTGTCAAGAAATTACAGAAAAAAATAAAACAGTTTGAGGAGCAATTTGAAAAAGAGAAAAACAGTAAGGTATGTTACCACTTCTGCTTTTACTCAGGATAAGTGACTGCATGGTAGAGCCTAAGTTACTTCCTGTAGTTCTTCACTGAATAACTAACTGTGGGATCACAAATGATAAAAATTTTGTTTACGCACTGCTGTCTACGAAAGTGAACTGAACAGCAGCAGGACTAGAAAACGTGCCATAATGCCTGAGCTGAAAGAAGGGCAAACAGTGGCATTTATGCAGTGAGACTGGGGGGTATCAGATGAGACATGGAGAGCCAGAAGGATCTTACCACTCCCTGGCTCAACTTCTGATGTCTTCTTTCAAGTTTATTTTCACAAGTGTCGTCTGTTACGGTAGCACTGAGATCTGATCTGGTACTGAGTGGCATCCGTGTTACTAGTCACATTTGCTGTCATAAATATTGCCAAATCTTGAAATAAATATTTATAAATGAGCTTTACTGTGTCTGTTTTCCTAAAATGTAGTTTATTTGTGTTACTTTTTAGCCCTCCTATGGTGATATTGCAGCCAATCCAAAAGTTTTAAAATGGATGACTGAACTTACCAAATTGAGAAAACAAATAAAAGGTAAGGGATGCTACAGTTTCCAGTTTTGTACAAACACAAATTATCTACATGACTTAAATGGCTAAGTCATTCAGTAAAATTCCACAGGACAATAAAAATGTTTCACTTCTAGATTCTAGACCATTCAAAAATCAAAATCGAATTATTCCTGTGGCTTTGTTTTTAGTTCGTTAGAAGAGAAACTTTACCTATTCAAACTGTTATGTTCCTTGATTTGCAGTTGATCTGAGACTTACTGCTTTTAAAGCTTTGGATTGAGCAATTTTTCTCATTTCAGATGCAAAGCAGAGGAGCTCAGATGGAGAATTCATACCCCAAACACGCCCACGAAGTAACACTCTTCCAAAAAGCTTTGGTTCCTCTCTTGACCAAGAGGATGAAGAAAATGGAGATGAGATGCGGGTTGTGCAGAAGGAGAAGAAGCCCACCAAGGAAGCTACACTTGAACTCATTTTGAAAAGATTAAAGGAAAAACGAGTTGAGAGATGTTTGCCAGAAGATATAAAAGTAAGCATAAGGTTATGGTTAGGCTGTTTCTAAGAGACTAACAGAGGGAAATAGAGCACTGTCAGACACTTCAGATACTGCTTCATTGACAAAATGATGCCTCTATCTAGCAGCCCTTTACCAAGACTGCATATTTCAAACTCTGGGGGGAAATAATCAAGATGAACCACATTTTTCTTGCTCGTTCTTTATTAAAATATTTATGAGTATGTGCTGATAATATTGGAGAGCTTTAAATGGATGAAGGTGGTATGTATGGTATTAACTTAACTAAGTTTGGCTAAGGCATCTGTATAGCCGATAATGTAGAAAAACTGTTAGTGACTTGTGTTTGATGGGATGTGAATTACTCTTCTGACAGAAAATGACAAAAGACCATTTGGTAGAAGAGAAAACATCTCTCCAGAAAAGCCTCCTGTATTATGAAAGTCAGCATGGACGGCCGGTAATACTTGGTTTACTACTTCAAACTATGTTAATGTATGCATAGGCAACAGGAACTCTTGTGCAGTAGTAATACCAGAATTTAATGCTGGTGTGTGGTTTTGTGTGTTTGTGGTTTTTTTTTCTTTCTCTGAAAAGACGAAGTTATCAATTGGTGGTGTGGTTTAACCCCAGCCAGCAACTAAGCACCACGCAGCCACTCGCTCATTCCCCCCCAGCACGATGGGAGCAAGAGAACTGGAAGAGTAAAAGTGAGAAAACTTGTGGGTTGAAAGAAGAACCGTTTAATAGTTGAAATAAAATAATATTTTTTTTAAATTTTAATGAAAAAAAAAAAAAAAAACCAGAAATAAAACCCAAGAATGACAAGTGATGCAAATGAAAACATTTGCTCACCACCAACTGACCGATGCCCAGCCAGTTCCTGAGCAGCGGCCTCCCTGCCAACCTTCCCCCAGTTTTATTGCTGAACATGACATCCTGTGGTAAGGAGTATCCCTTTGGTCAGTTGGGGTCAGCTGTCCCGACTGTGTTTCCTCCTAACTCTTTGTGCACCCCCAGCCTCCTCGCTGGCAGGGCGGTATGAGGAGCAGAAAAGGCCTTGACTCTGTGTAAGCACTGCTCAGCAGTAACTAAAACGTCCCTGTATTACCAACACTGTTCTCAGCACAAATCCAAAACGTTGCCCCATAGTAGCTAGTGTGAAGAAAGCTAACTGTATCCCAGCCAAAACCAGCACAATTGGTTTCCATGTTGCTATCAGAGGAAGTTACTGAGTTGACTTCTAAAAAAAAAAAAAAAAAAGTATGTATTAGTAGGCCCTTTTTCCACAGATCAGTAGGTTTGCAGAGTGTCTTTTGGTGCCTTATAATTGGAGATACAGAAGTTAGAGTAAGTGACTAGCAGTCAGTGCCCAGAGTTCTGTATTTTTATCTTGAGCAGTGATCAGCATCACTAGTCCAATCACAAGATCTTTCCAGTTACTATTCTATCAGCCTTTCTGGACTTAGCACACCAGCTTTATAATCAGTGCTGATGTATAAATCTGACCAAGCCTTTCAGTCTAAAAGCCAGGGAAGAATAATGGTCTTGGAGATACTGGCACTGGTTCTCAATCCCCTTACGGAGAAAATGCCAGTAACTGTTCAGGATAGCCTTTAAGATTCATTACGTTAGTGTACACAGTGGCCAAGAACTGAGACTAAATCAGATACCAGATAAAATCTCTCTACAGTTTCATCTTTTTCTTTTTTCCCCCTGTCATTTCTGTAGAATCATCATCATTGCCAGACACAAGTCTTCTCCCCTAACTCTTGATCTGTTTTTTTTCCTCTTTTCCATGGGTCTTTAAAGACAGATGGCTTGCTTTGACTGAAGCTCCCCTGACTTTTAGGAAGTCTTTAAAACTTCTTGAGAACTATAGGGAGTTAGTGAGAAAAGAAAAGAGGAAAAAGCGCCCACTTATTCCCCTTTATCTGTATAAACCCTATTTCATACACACAATTTAAACTAGTTTTGTGTTCCTAATTGGAATATATGTGGCCTGGCATGAGAAGCATACCGCTTTGTGTTTGCTTGTATATTATTGGGTGACTGGTATAATTAATTGTGTGGTTTCTCTGCCTTTAGGTTACTAGAGAAGAAAGACATATTGTGAAGCCACTTTATGACAGATACAGACTTGTAAAACAAATGTTAACTAGAGCAAGCATTACTCCTATTCTTGTGAGTAAAACAAATGCTATTTCTATTTTTTTCCACTTTTGAACTGCTAGGCTGCCTTTAGAAGAGCTTGTAAAACTGTACCATAAAATACATCTTTCTTGTGGAAGATAGAAGATGTTGTTGTCATCATACCGGAGGCATTTGATTTACTGCTGAGAGCGGAGTAGTTCAAAGCTGTCTGTGACCTTGATGGCTCTTAGGAAGTAAATGGTTCCCGGTGGAAATAAATAAGCAGTTCTAACTTGCCATGGCTGAAACGTTCCCAAGTCACTGTGCTAGCTGTGGATCCACAGTACATATTGTACTTTCAGTCCTCCCAAGAATAGTAACATCCATTGCAGTGAAGCTTGTCTCTCTTCTGTGCTGCAGGTTACTGTCACCAAAGGCATGAGTGATAGGACGGCCATAAGAACCATTTCATTCCTTCATGCTTCCCCAGTGTGAGACATGTTATCAAAACCTGCAGCATCTGTACATCATCTGTGCTTTTTCATTGTGTTTTCACTTCATTTCCTTCCAACTTGCAGTGCTTTCTATTCTTTTCTTTCCTCTCTCTGTGGTCTTGTAAGAGATGAGGAAGAAAAGTGTTCATACTGTGTGAGGAGATCGATGTAACGTTGTTTATAGTACCTGTAAAACGGTTCTGGAATGACAACCTGCTGGCTGTCGTTGTTCTTCATGAGCTATAGCCAAAGTCTTGCATGCTGACCTAGACTTGCAACAAAAGAGTTTTGATATTATCTATTTGACCCTTTTAGAAGGAAGGGACTGCATCGCTGATGTGAGATAAGCTCTTTACATACAGACAGTTCTCCACCAGATTTACATAGCTGGGCAGTGGCTTACTGAGCAGCAACTTCATCAGCTGTCTATGTTGACTCTGACTGTCCTTAGCTATCCCCTTTAAGCTGAAGTATGTTGAGATAAAGGGACCAGTTCAAGATCGTTCCTTTCTTGCACATACATTTTCAGGTAGCTTATGGCATCACGGTATACTAATCACATACTCTGAAGCCTGTGTAGAAATGTCCAAAGAAGCAGGAAGCTGTTTACTTTTCATCAACTAAAGTTTTTTGACAGGTCATTGTCTGCATGGCTTTCGTGTTCCTCCTGTTCAAAGAGTCCATCTGTTGAAATTGCTTATGCTGTCCAGGGCTAATGGATGAGCAGGGCATAATTGCATGTGTGCAACAGGCAGCTGACAGCAATTCCTGTACAGCACAGTGGCACCTGTTTAGGCTGAAGTTCAAAGGACATTGACATTGAGGTGGCAATAGATAACTCTTACATAGTTCTTCTAATTGCTGGACTTCGGGCTAGTCTAGAAGAAGAAACTGGCAGTATTATTCCCAATGTATGTCTGTCAAGATAAAAAAAAACATCTCTGGCCTTGTGTAACTTTATAGTCTCCCTATGGTTTGGTTTGGGACGAACAAGAGTAAATATGAAATTCAGAGATATCATTGTGCTTTATGAATTTTTCTAGAAAACATTGAGAGAGTGACTGCTTTTTATTTTAAGTCTGAAGAAGAGTATTTTTACATAAATTATAAGCTACAACATTTACTTCTATGTCAAGGATACTTTGGACATCTGAGCTTTTTGGGTTATATGGTTATTTTGTTTGTGCTCTATAGGTATGTTTGCAGTCTCTTATTCTTCTGAAAAAAGAAATACTTTTAGGTGTTAGGTAACTTGAACAAAATTCTGACCGCACACAGCATTTAGTGTCTAATTGCACATAATGAAACAAATTTTTGCAGGGGTCACCATCAACCAAGAGGCGGGGGCAGATGTTACAGCCCATTATTGAAGGTGAAACTGCCCATTTTTTCGAAGAAATTAAGGTGTGTACAGTGCATTTGAAAACCGAACAACGTCCCAGCATTTGTAACGGGGAACTGAAATATTTCATATTTCTTTTGAATTTCTGCTTTAACTTTCAGGAAGAAGAGGAGGAAAGTGATGGTTTGTCTACAGACCTGAATGATATCTTGAAAACTGCTGTCCAAACACAGTCTGTTTTAAGCCCAGTTGAAAACTCTGAGTCTGATGTTGAAGATGGTCAAGAGAAACTGACCCGGGACCTTAGGCTGTCAAGCACCCGCGCTGCTTCTATGTATGTAAAAATGAGGAGTGACTAATTCTACTATAGAAGTTGCAATTATTGCACTTAGTCATGATACCAAATATATGATGTAGGGTGGAAGGGAGTGACATGTTCGGCACTTCTCAGAAAGTGTTTGGCTTGCATGAGTCGTCTTTCCTTTGACATGTCTGACGAAGATCTCTTTGTATTCAGTGAATTGTTTAGTGTCTTCTAAACCTTCTTCAGCCTTACTTGAGCTGTGTAGACAGCAGAAAATTTACACCCTTTTATTAACTACTAGTTTGTTCTCAATATTTCACCATCAGGCAGATGGCATATTCCTTATGAGCAAGACATTAGTGCAGCTAGCGCAGTTGTTTTGAGTATGCTTTGAAGAATTTAAATTTTATTGTATGGCCAACAGTATTTTTCTTTCACGTGAATTTTTTAGGCCTGAATTATTGGAGCAACTGTGGAAAGCGAGAGCTGAAAAAAAGAAGCTACGCAAGACATTACGAGAATTTGAAGAGGAGTTTTATCAGCAGAATGGAAGGTTTGTTTAGCACAAAACCAGATGCTGGACAGCAGCCTCATTTTGTACCCAAGTGTTTTTTTTCAACTTTCTATAGCAGTGTTGGCAAATGGAATCTGATCTGTTTTAATCTGTGCTATGAATAATCAGCTGAAGGAGGTAACATTCCTGTCTATTTTTAATAGCGGAGGAAGCCTGGTCCTGAGTTTTGTTTCCTCTACTACAGTCCAGTAAAGCGTAATAATGAAAATGGAAGAAGTGGGGTTTTATCATTTTAAAAAATGAGCATTTAAAAATACTTACTAAAAAGCATTTTTTTATATTAAAATAAAAAAAAAAACCCTCAGATTATCCCTCTGTTTTTAACATAGGGCAGGGAAGTTTGCCTATTTGGCCTTTGTTCCAGTAGGTCAGTCCTGAGAGTGGATATTTGCTTTACCAGTAAAGGGGTAGATAATTTTTATTCTTCTCTGTATTGTTTAGTTCTTTCAGGCTTCTTATTTGAATATATGTTGTTAGAAGTTTGAGTGAGCTGCTGCCCACTGTGTGTAATAGGAGGTTTTTCGAGGTGTATCACCTCGTGAACAAAACTAACAACACTCTTAAGAGGTCAGTTGCTTTTTGACTGGCAGATATTCTCACTTAACTACACTTTCTACTGTATTTCTCCTTAACTCTAGACTCCTGGACCATTGGTCACAGATTCCACTAACATGGCTTCATCATGTATTTACTGAATTTGGGACATAACTCCTTTTGACTTTAATAGCAAGTAACGAAGTTAATAATGAAGGGTTGATTTAAAAATAAGGCAGATTAACAGATTAATTTATTATAGTCCAGTCTTTAAGTAAGAGTAACTCTCTTCTATCGATTTCTGAGTCGGTCCTACATACAGTGAAAATGTAGATGGACTTAAATTTATTTGTATTTTTCTGTAATGTATATCTGTGTATACAGGATCTGAAATTAAAATCTCCAGAAGAACTTAGGAGAAGAATTTATAAACAATGCAGTGGCAGCTGTGCTGAATTAGTGCTGCTGGATTTTCTATTCAGTTTTTTAGGTGATGGCAATTTTAACTACAGTGAACTAAAAGATAGCAATTTGTCTGATTGGTGAACCAGCTGCCAAAAATGTTTTTATCTGCCCTGAGATAACGGCACATTGTTGCTTTTGTGTTTGGCTTGCTGCAATACGGAAGATTTTCTTGAAACACGGGTGTGCTTCTTTTTACAGGAATGTACAGAAAGAAGATCGAGTTCCAATGCTTGATGAGTACAGGGAGTACAAGAAAATTAAAGCCAAACTTAGGCTGTTAGAAGTCCTTATCAGCAAACAAGATTCTTCAAAATCAATTTAAATTATATTCCTCCAACCCATTGAACAACATGATGTTTCCGTATACTACCACTGTACTTATTGGGTGCTTGTGTTCATTTGTCATGCACTGTTGAAAGAATCCAGTTTGTGCACTTTATTGTGGTGCCACTATAACATGTTTGAAGAGTAAGTAGGTCCTGTCTAGAGAGCAAGTAAGATTTCTAAGTTCGAGACTGCTCTATCCAACTTTAGCAAACACAGTTTCCATCAAAGTTTTGTATTACAGATGCATCCATCTTGTTCCAAAACAACCATAGCTTTTTTTTCTTTAGCTATCAAGAACTTCGAGACTTTTGTTATTACCAACTTTTTGCATTATTGAAGAAATTATTAATACAGTAATGCTACACTGAACTACTCCTCTTACCTATTTTTTATTATGGGGAAAAAAGTCAACAAATTAAATGTACAGCTCTTTTTCCTGGAACATATAAAAAACAGACTGAAATTCCTTTCAAAGGACTGCTGTGGAACAACTTTAATTTTTGGTATTCTAAATTGCACCTATAACACAGTAATAATTAACATCTATGGATTTTGCTCATTAGCGGTCACGTTTCCTCCTTGATAAAGATGACAGTGGACAAACCAGAAAGTGACCTTGCTTAGTGTCTTTTAAAACTTGGAAAACTGAAAAGTTATATCACATGCTGCCTACAGGACTTATGTTGCTGTTCTTTTTATCATTATCGGTTATTGTTTATCAACTAGTGGTGACATAGTGTTTTGTCTGAATTGGATACTGCATCTCCACTATCGGAAGATTTGAGGAACGTAACGAACATTTCAGTGTATGGGAAATCTGATGGCACTCAGACTTGTATAGCTCCAGCAGAAAAGAGCTGGCTTAGGACAGATAAAATTCCACTGTACCTGAAATAAGTATGGTATCAAGGGCTAAAATCAGTGTAGTTAACGTCACCACAGGGTGAACTGTTGGTTTTGAGTGAAAATATTACTGCTGTTTATCACAATTTTGTTTTACAGTTGGAGAATAAAAATAGGTTATCTAACCCTTATGATGTAAGCAAAACAGTTTATGGGCCTTGCATGATTTAGCTTCAGAGTTGAAACTAAATAATGTTTTGAGTATCACATCTGCTGTGCTGAATGATGATTTAGCTACTAGCTTTATGCTCTGCAACAGCCATCAGCTGGTTTTGATCTGGCAAAATCTAAGTGTTAATTTTAACTGGTGCTTTCTCAATTTTTTTTTTTTTCTTCAATGTATCCGTTTGATTGTGGCCATGTTTTGCATGCACCTACTCTCACTGCATGTTTTTATGACTGGCTAATGTCAACCATAGCTATTATTCACACTGCTTTATCAAAGACCAAAAATGAACTTTCTCACAACGTAAGAAATGGCTAGCATGTAACCTCATAGACTTGCTGTTCTGTCATGAAGCATATGAAATAGGTTGACAGTAGGATTTTTAGTGCTCAGATTTCATCTGTGTACTGTAGAATACTTCTTGTTTTCTTTTACCCTGCTTGTAGGCATGTAATTTTGGAATTCAGAAAAAAAAAGCACTAAAACTATTGAGCACTGGTGGTATGCCTTTTTTTTTTTAAACTGCAAAATGATCTGGGACCTTAGAGAATTATGAGGTTAAACTAGTCTTGAGACCATTTATCAATTTTATTCAGTTCCATTGTGCAATGTACACTTCACTTACTTTTCTATCAGTCTGCAGACACGGGTGTATCCAAACATTGAAACTAATGTGTACTGTATAGTGTTGTACATGAATGTTTGTGTTTTATATACCACATGCAAAATGTCAATATGCACTATTTAAATGTTTTAAATAATATATTCCTCCTTTATAATGCTTAAATCTATATGATTCCAATATTTTTATAAGTGAGTGAGTGATCAGACTGGTTCCAATTCAGAATTAACAGCTGCTTTGTGTTTGTTATGCAGTGTTTGGCTGTTTATTCAGTATAGTAGATAAGCATGGCAACAGTTATGCTGAGTGTGTTTTGTGCCATCCTTGTTGAGCAATAAATAAATGGTAGAACTAGGCATTTTGTGATATAACAGTTTTACTTTGGTAAAAGCAAAACCTATATATCTATATGGATATATAGATATGGAATATATATATAACTAAACCAGATATAATTGCATTGCTATGTCTGGTGCTCATTGTATAGACTTTTATAATAAAAGTACCTTAACCTTTATTGTCATATATCTCTGTTTCTCATCATGCTTTCTCTTCCTCTGCCATCAAAAACAAGTTCCGAATCCTTCGCTATTCCTATACGTATTTGTAGTTTCAGGGTGTTACTGGGGCATGTCCGAACTCTGCAGCCTGCCAGCAGAGCCACCCACACTGGTGGTGGCTCTGGTGCTGAGACAGCCCGTGGTGAAAACAGCAGTTTAAGCCAGGTTCTACCTGTTTAGACTGTGCCTCTCAGCAGAGACAGCAGGAAAGTGACCAAATCAGCTCCTGAACTGACAGCTTGGCTTACGGTACGATGCAGGCTTCAGTTCCTGCTAGGGTGCCAGCCTGCGGTGTGACGACGCAGGAGCAAACTGTGAGTCTCACTCGTTCCGGCGGCAACAGTAGCAACTTTGGGAGTAGATGGGGCAGAGAGCTGACTCAGCCGTTACTGGGCTAATTCACTGCTAGTGAATACACCTCGGCTGATGAGCAGTATTTGATTGTGTCTCTATATCCATAATGAACTCTTAGCCTTAAAATCAGTATCACAGCAGTTACTGCTGTGTTTGTGACCAGAAAACACTGTTGTTGCATACACTTCTGTAAACACAAGAGGATGCTTTTCCTCTGGACCAAAGGGATTTTTTTTTTTCATAGTATACCGATGTAAGTTCATGTGAAAAATGACTGCGGTCTTTCAAACTGACTCTTCTGTTGTATTTTGTGTAAATCCACCTTTCTTCAGCTTAAGGCCTAGCAGGCGACAGAAGAACTCCTGGAGGTGAAGGCTTTGCTTGCAGTGTGGATAAATGTGGATAAACAACTAGGAGGTTGAGGGAGTGAGTGAGGGAGAGGAAGACAGAAGGCAGCCTTCAGTATGTTCTTTAGGGTGGGACAGAATAACCTTCCCTCTAATCGCATGGCTGTCCTCCGTAGATGGGGGGAAAAAGAAAGCACAAATTCTTGTGCCTTGAAGAAGGAACAAGGCTGTTAGAGATCTGTTCTTCAATATTCCATTTTTCCTCAGCATTATTTATTCAATGGAGCTTGCTCTGATCAAGATGCTAATGAGAAGACAAAAATCCCTCAAATAGTGGTTTAGTGAGAACTGCTTCAAATCCATGTGCTACAAAGCAATGAGTAAGAAGATTTTAATGAAGGGTAATAACCCTGTTTTAAACACCATTAGCCGAAACAGAGGAGAAACAGATATTTTTGAGGGTGCAAAAAGCTCAGTGATACTGGGACAGATCTTCCTTGCTAAAGAACCCATTCTGAGACCACGCAAATCTATAGTTTTCCAAGCTTTACCTCTTCAAAGAGGTGACTGCAGGGCAAGGAGCTTGGGGGAGAAGTGAGGCAGGCTGTGAAGAGGTTTTCCTGTGCCCTGGAGGAGTAGAGCAAGGATGAAGAGTGCTTGAACGCTCTGCCGTGAAGTTCTGGGTAAGTAACTGTGTCTAAAGGTTTCGAGACCTCTGTATGAGAGGGGTTGCCAGGACAAGGAAAGGTCGGAGATGCCAAAGGTGCAATACATCTGCTTTCCTGCGTGTCAGGCTATTGAGTAATCAAGATAAACAGATCATCAGTGACCTGTGTTTTCTGGGACAAGTGTCCTGGGATACTGCATAGCAACAAGAACCCTTGGGAAGGAAAGAGGCGTTTTATTTTAAACTGGTCCCTTTCAGAAGAGAGACAATGGCTTGGCTTGGCCAGAGACCGAAGTACAAAATTGGTGAACCCAGACAGGCAGACCAGTGCACGGCTACATCGTGCTACTGGGCTGAAGCGGTCTCTTTCTGGGTCCCTGCAAACGTCCATCTGCTCCCCTCTCCGTGACAGCCCCTCCACGGTGTGATTAGATGCAGACACCAGAGACCATTCAGTAGCTTGATAGTGGATGCAAGGCTTTATAATATAAATCCTTGTAGGATTTATGTAAGTTTCGGGATACTTTGGAGGCTGGGGATTGCGTCTCATGCGTGTGCCAAGACGTACAGCAGCAGAACTTCCCTAGGGCAGGGATTGCGTGGTGCAGGTGGAGCGTTGCAGTGTGGTGATGGCCCCGTGTTCAGATGGCATTTGGACATGTGTTTCATTTTTTCCTGTGGCTGAGTCCCAGCAAAGAACAAATATCAACGGCTACATATGAGTAGACAGCTTCTGGCCTGAACATGATACCGTGTCGTGTAAGGCAATGGCTATAAATGGATTTAGGAATAAAAAGGATATTCTGAAAATGCAGGCTGGCAAGGGTGAAGCAAATTGCCCTCTAGTGGTTTGTGCTGTTAAGGCCTGATCAACATTGTTTTTATTTTTTCTTTCCTGAAAGAAAAACTTTTTTTTTTTTTTCCCCCTCTGAAGGCAACAGTAACCTGTTTGGGAAGCAACAGGTGGCTGGAACAAGAATTGTTGAGAAAATAGGTGTTAATCTCAGCAGCGGACTGGGGAAGTGAGGGCTAATGAACGGTGTGCTGGACTGTGCTTGGTGACCGAGGGCTGCGCTGGGCTACGTAGGGCCAGAGATCGAGAAGGGTACGGAGCAGGCCCAGGATGCTGCCGTTGCTCGTCATCTGCTTCTTGGTATGTATCTGTGTCTCACAGAAGCCCCAAAACAAGGCAGAAGAATAAATGTTCAGGCATTCAGCCTACCCAGAACTCCAGCAAGGTTGGTCAGTTCTTCTCAGAGGAGGAAACATCTGAAACTCTCAAAGGGCCTAGAAGCAACAACAGTATATACCTTTATTAACATTCCTG